GAATCATGACAAACTCAGAAGATCCAGCGAGAAACTCAATGAGTTGTGTCAATTTCAAGTCAATTTGTAAGTCGAAATCTCATATTCAACGAGTTACCGAGTTATGAGACATCGAATATAAACGCGGCTCGGTCGCGGACTATCTTCATGTGGGGACGGAATGTCATCCTTTTATCTAGGGTGACCGCCTTGGTACTTGACCTTTACAGCTCAGGGTAAGGACTGGCCAGAGAGAGTGATCGCAGGAGTGGTGTTACTGTGCCTAATACGAGAGGGAATGCTTGAAGTGGTGTCGGGCGGCGAATCCTGTTTTAGAACACGGCTGTGCTTTTTGTGGAGGTGGTGTCGATGCACCTCTTTCGGAACCATTGTTCTAAGGTGGTGGCCGCGGCCTAGAGTTTGCGATGGATTAACGACATATTCCTACTGGAGTAGTAAGTAAACAGTTGTGTCATCGGCGAGGAGGGCTAGCTGGGTCAGCGACGACCGGTGTATATCACTGATATACAAATGTCTGAATTCACGTTAAGATATTTATCCGGTAATTGTTTTATGCTCTTATATTATATACGTTAAAAAATAAATAATTAGATATTATTTAACAAACATATAAACTTAGATATCGGATAAATCATTTTTAAAATCCTGTTCACAATAATTGTCAATACTTAATACGTACTTAACAAACGTTCACGCTTGACTTCCACTGTGAAGGAATAACACGTGTAATAAAAATCAAACCCGCAAAATTATAATTTGCGTAATTACTGGTGGTAGGACGTCTTGTGAGTCCGCACGGGTAGGTACTACCACCCTGCCGTGAAGCAGTAATGCGTTTCGGTTTGAAGTGGTTTATAGGGTGGGGCAGCCGTTGTACTGCAAAAACTGAGACCACAGAGCTCATATCTCAAGGTAGGCGGCGGCATTTACGTTGAAAATATGAATGATATGAATGCTCCAGTAACCACTTAACACCAGGTGGGCCGTGAGCTCGTCTACCCACCCAAGCTATAAAAATAAATAAAAAATGTTTGAGAGGTTTTCAGACGAATTTTCTTAAGGAAATTCTAATTGCAAAGTAATTTGATTTTACTACTTGTGAAATTATAAATATTTGAATACAACACAAATTGAGACTATAACAATATTACTGGGTAAAACTGCTTTTACTGAGTACAACGTCGATATGTCTAGACTGCGCCAGACAACAGACAATCCCTTTGATCCCATTGTCATAGGCTAGAAGCCAACAACCTGACAAACTATGAGTACACGCCGGACAATTACGTTATCTAATGTTGATACGTATCTTACATTAAATCGCAATTAATATCTATCTGTGGAACACAATGTAATTTCCCCCTACATATATCTCCTTATAGAAAGGTATCTCACTAAATGCTGTAAATTTTTTTTAGGAAAGTTCTGATTGCTTCTTACTTTCGGACCGATGTTAACGGTAGAAAAACTTGTTTGTGTTCAACTTAGTCAAGATTTGTATAGTACTTCAATGTTCGAATTGAGTGCTGTTTGCCTTGTTTTGATTCATTTTATTAATGTTTCTTATAAAACTCGCTGGGTTTATAATAGAGGTTAAAGTATGAAATTGCTGTTTTATTGTAATAGGTACTTCGAATTGACATAGAAACTTCATGGTTTGAGATTTTTCAGTGAAACTTTTTTCAAATGGTACCTATTTGGTTCTTCTTTTAAAAAATGTGCAACATTTGATTATCGACTTTCAATTGTTTTTTTAATTCAGCTTAGACAAGAAAGATGGATACTTTGAAAATTCGAGTGATTTTTGAATACGAGTTCCGNGTTTTATTGTAATAGGTACTTCGAATTGACATAGAAACTTCATGGTTTGAGATTTTTCAGTGAAACTTTTTTCAAATGGTACCTATTTGGTTCTTCTTTTAAAAAATGTGCAACATTTGATTATCGACTTTCAATTGTTTTTTTAATTCAGCTTAGACAAGAAAGATGGATACTTTGAAAATTCGAGTGATTTTTGAATACGAGTTCCGACGCGGTACAGATACAGCTCTCAATATCAATGTTGCGTTTGGAAAGGGGACTGCTAGTGAACGCACCGTGCGATTTTGGTTTAAACGCTTTTGTGATGAAAAATTTGATTTGAAGGACGAACCACGTAAAAGACCGTGTCCACACATGTGAATAACAATATATTGAAATGGTGGAAGTCGATCTGAGCCAAACTACCCAGGAATTAGCGGCATGGTTTAACGTTACCTTATATAATAATATTGACTCATTTGCGTCAAATCAATAAAATAAAAAAAATATCAAAAAATGGGTGCCTCATGATTTAACTGCAGAAAGAAACGCGTGTTGAAACTTGTGTTCTCTTGTTGAATCTATACAGAAATGAAGAAATATTGGATCGAATTGTGACATGTGAAGAAAAGTGGATTCTTCACGATAACTGTAAGCGAAAAATGCAATGACTAGCCCCAGGTCAAAGGCCGCAACAATGTCCTAAAGCAAAGCTTACAAATACAAAGGTAATGGTAACTGTTTGGTGGTCTCAGCATGGTGTTATTTACTATAGCTTTCTCCGATCTGGTCAAGCAATAACGGCAGATGTCTACTGTGCCGAACTCCGAACAATGATAGCAAAACTTGCAGGAAACAGCCCCGACTCATGATTCGATCTTCACCATTATTGCTCAATGATAACGCGAAATCTCATACAGCACGAGAAACTGTTTTAACTCTACACGAACTGCAATTAGAAACATTCGCCACCCTCCGTCTTCAGACCTTCGCACCATCGCAGACCTTTCTCCAACGGATTACCATTTTTTTCGTGATTTCGACAATTTTCTGCGTGATAAAACGTTTTCTTCCCAGGATGCAGTACAACACAGAGTTTGTAGAATCTAGATCACAAGAGTTCTATCGCAAAGGTATAAATAGCCTTCCTATTAGATGGCAGCAATATATAGATAAGAATGGTAGATATTTTGATTAAATAAATATGTTAAATGAAAAATAAACGAATTAAAATTTTCAGTACAAATCGGCAATTTCATACTTTAACCCCTAATATTTGTACCTATAAAAATAATGATAAAAAAGGAATGATTTAAAGAGATGAGTCTCTGGTATTGTTTTTTAAGTATAGGAATCATGATAAAATCAAATGGCCGAAATCAATTTCACATTTTTTAAGCGCTGGTAATAATATTATAGTTAAAAAAACGTAATGATTTGAAGAAAAAAATACGCAGTGAATTATTGAAAATAAGGAGAAAAATTAGTGGTTTGTAACAAAAAAAAACCATATGCAGTAAACACGACAGTAGAACTAAATAATTTAAGTATTGTGAACTGTTCTACATAATGTGCATATAAAGGCAATACGCAGTTGCCATATAGGACAGCTGTAGAATGTAAAACCACGATGTATGCACGCATTAATTCACTGAAACTCATTTACTGGCAAGACTAATTTTCACGCTAAAGGTAATTAAGTACGAAGTATACATGATATTAAATTCATCGCGGGAGAATAATAAAGGGTGAAACTTTGACAGCGTCTTTGATGTTGCCTTGTATCTTACTTGTTACGTTCAAAGAATTTACAAAACCAATTTTCGGAATTGAACAGAAATGAAACGTTGTTTACAGTGCTGACTTTGACACGCGAATTGTATTAGTTTTGATCACAATCACTTAAGTATAATAATGAAAATAAATAACTTATGTTCAGTGAATCAAGTTTCTTATGTTCGATAAACTGTAATTTATGGTGCTCTGTTTTTGTCCTTTTAATACTTGCACATAACAATTAGTCTCAGAATAAACAGTTTTTTTCTGTATTCTGAGCAATTGTATGATTTCCTAGAACTGAGAAGCGTTTTGCAAGTTTTACTGAAATAAAAGCTTCGAAAAATTTGCATAGTATCAATTTCTGATGTAGTAAATGTAGGATTTCAATAGATGAAGGTTAATTGATAGTCTCTAGGCCCCAATAGAATTCCGTACCTTTAATTTGATAAAGGTTGACTTGTTATTTGTTTTTTACCACGTAAATGAAATTTATAAATCTATACTACTTAAAAAATCTTTATAATGGATTTAAAACATAAAGAACTCTAAATTTTTCTACCAAAAAGTCATAAAAATTGCTGTGGCTTTGAATTTAAATCTTCCAGGTTGAATAGGCATAGGGTTGAATAGGCATATAGTGTTAATAAGAATGCTAATTTTAAGTTATTTTTGTGATTATAAATGTCATGTCCTCAATCAAAAAGTACTTAGTTTGTGCTTAAAAGTGAATGTGAATAAATTAGTTGATTAGAATGTAGAATAAATATTGATAAATGTGTAGTTGATATGTACATGTGCTTGACCTTGAATATAATATGTAGTTCTGTTATTTTGTGTTCTTAATATGTTTTGGAAACCGCTTTTAATTAGTCTGCCAGAATGCGGATTGTCATCAAAATGTACATAGTTGTTGTAAATTGTTGTGTGTCTAGTAAGTACAATTAAAAATATTCCAATGTACCTATTTTTGCAGAAAGCTCTGACGATATTTTGTGACTCGGTCTTAAATGTGCGAAATATAATTCTTGATATGAAAGTGTCAATCACGTAGCACTACATAATATGTATATAGTGAAATCTACGTTAGAGCAGGCTTACGTCTACACAAGTAAAGTTCTTAGAAGCCGCCTTCCCCACAAGCGGGGAGGCAAGTTTATCGGCGTGATTTCATCGTCTTTCCGTCGTATTGATAAACTGAGCTGTCGATTCTACGCTATAATGTAGCTATCTTTGTCGATCACCACTATTGGCGTGGTGGAGAACGCACAACTACCTCTTTGGAAGCTATGGTTAAATAATAGTAGTTTTTATTGAACCTACGTTTTTATGAATAATATTGATTATAGCATTAAAAGAGGACCTTATAAGAAAGTTTATGTGGTAATTGTAAAAGTTCAGCTGAGTTGTGTCGTTGGTTGCAGTGAGAGTAAGAGTGGCGGCAACCGGCTGGCGACGCCTCGGATGTCGCTACTTGGCAAACCGCTCAGTTACCGCGCAACGCGACGGGACGCGCGATACCGCCGACTACAGTCCAAGTTTTACAATTTTCTAGAAAGGCCTAGAGGTTATAAGGCAGTCTTGTATCATATGATTGTGTAAGTAATTATTTATTTTTATGAGTCAATCCTTTATGAGCTTTAAATTTTAAAACAATAGTAAAAGACTGTTGACTTATTATATGTATATAAGTATATCAGTACGTAAGTATGTACTTAGTCTGGCCATAAATACTGTTACAATTAAAAATAAACAAAATATTACATTTGAATTTGGAATCTGTCATTTTTATATGATTGCTCATTGAGTTTTCTCATTTTGGCGCCAATACATTGTACAATATTTTGCGATATTAAAATGGAGTCGGGTGATAAAGAGAACCGAATCGCTGTGATTGCATTACACAAAGTAGGTATGGAGCCAAATGCATTTTTTAAAACTCTTCATACGCTTGGTATTTGTAAAATGTTTGTGTACCGGGCTATTAATAGGTGCAATGAGACCTCCTCTGTTTGTGACAGAAAAAGATATGGCCGTCCACGTAGTGTTCGTACGAAAAAGGTGGTCAAAGCAGTAAGGGAAAGAATTCGAAGAAATCCTGTCCGAGAGCAAAAGATTTTGTCTCGGGAGATGAAGATAGCACCTAGAACCATGTCGCGTATTTTAAAAGATGACTTAGGACTTGCAGCCTATAAGAGACGTACTGGTCATTTCTTAACTGATAATTTAAAAGAGAATAGGGTGGTAAAATCGAAACAACTACTGAAGCGGTACACAAAGGGAGGTCATAGAAAAATTTTGTTTACGGATGAGAAATTTTTTACAATTGAGCAACATTTTAACAAACAAAATGACTNACCATGTCGCGTATTTTAAAAGATGACTTAGGACTTGCAGCCTATAAGAGACGTACTGGTCATTTCTTAACTGATAATTTAAAAGAGAATAGGGTGGTAAAATCGAAACAACTACTGAAGCGGTACACAAAGGGAGGTCATAGAAAAATTTTGTTTACGGATGAGAAATTTTTTACAATTGAGCAACATTTTAACAAACAAAATGACTGTATTTATGCTCAAAGCTCTAAGGAAGCTTCCCAATTAGTCGACAGAGTGCAACGTGGGCACTATCCGACTTCAGTGATGGTTTGGTGAGGTATTAGCTATGAAGGAGTGACTGAGCCATACTTTTGTGAAGAAGGTATCAAAACATCGGCACAAGTTTATCAAGATACCATTCTTGAGAAGGTAGTGAAGCCCCTTAGCAACACCATGTTCAATAATCAAGAACGGTCCTTCCAGCAAGATTCGGCGCCAGGTCATAAAGCTCGGTCTACGCAGTCTTGGTTGGAAACGAACGTTTTGGACTTCATCATACCTGAAAACTGGCCGTCGTCTAGTCCCGATCTTAATCCGCTGGATTATGATTTATGGTCAGTTTTAGAGAGTACGGCTTGCTCTAAACGCCATGATAATTTGGAGTCCCTAAAACAATCCGTACGATTGACAGTGAAAAATTTTCCCATGGAAAGAGTGCGTGCTTCTATTGATAACTGGCTTCAACGTTTAAAGGACTGTATTGCAGCCAATGGAGACCACTTCGAATAAGCTTTTTATACTTTAAATTGTTTTATATTTATGTATTAAACTAACACTCTGTAAAAGTAATAAATGTTATTTGCAATAGAATTTTTTTTTCCTTTGTAACAGTATTTATGGCCAGACTAATAACTATTTGATTTATATTGGTATATAAATCAAATAGTTATTTCATATTATATGTAAACGGTGTATATCTATTTAATGTATGTATATATTTTCTATATTATTTTAATATATTGTCAATAGTACACCGCAACGTACCTGCTACATTTTTATATTTTCCAGAATTTCTCTAAATTGAACGGTTCTCCGGAAAATATCGCTTTTAGCGACAAGCCGGCCTATTGTACAAATCTATCTGCTTTTTGACTGTCTTTTAATGTAAATTGAGTTTTAGTGTGCAATAAAGTGTATTATCTATCTCTCTTTCTCTCTCTCTAAAAGACAAGATTTAAAATTTGTCTTAATCAATTTTTACGAAATATGACCAGTTCATATTACGCATTGTGTGACTGCGGTTGTGGTTACTACTATTCTGCCTATTTCTGCGGAAAAGGAGTCATACATTCCGGTTTGAAGGGAAAAGGCGTTGTATAATTAGACTTCGACTTCATGTCTTATAGCGGGTTATAGGATTTATTCTGTGATATTTGTAAGGTCCTGGGTAGCTACAAAATAAAATAAGTTAATCTGGTTTATCATATTGCGTTCATTAAAGATAAAATTATGTTATTTGCACTTTACTGTACTTGAGTTTTAACTTCTTTTTCATAGCCATTCTGAAAATATATATACTCAAAAACAATAAAAATGATTGATTAAATAATTTCGAATAAACACAATTATTTCGGAGGCTTCTTGTTAACAACGTAATCTATTTATGACGAATAGAGCGTCCATTATGTACGTACATTTGTATAATCCAATTTGAAATTAACTGGGTGTTCACGAAGGAAATTCTATTAGCTGCGAAATTCAGACGTGTATGTTTATACATGCTGTATATTTGTTCAGGTTTTTGATGGTGTTCATGTGTTTGTCGCTGTCTGTGTTCTCCACAATCGAAGAGTACGAAGCGAAAGCGGGGATCGTTCTCTTCTACATGGAGACAGTGGTGGTTGTATGGTTCGCTATTGAATTCATTTTAAGGTAAAGAAATAGACATTTAACCGAAAATTATTATTTGCATTGTTTTTAATGATTCTAAAGTTGGTGAATAAACATTATTTCAAAAGCACCGCATAATATTTCTAGAACCTTGAATTATAAAAGTTATTTTGTGTCGTGCCGTGTCTTTGAATATATAAATGTTTGAATCGTAATCATAAAATTTGTAATAAAAACTGTAATAAAAATTATGTCGTGCAAAAATCTAAGAACTTTAAGTATTATAAATACATTTACAGAGTTTCGATATACCATTGTTGTTATTATAATTTACAGCAGTCATTAACTTTTTACCTAAATATCAGTTCATAATAAACCAAAGGTTTTGTCATTTTAAATAATTTTTAATATCGTAATGGCTGAAATTGTTATACATCTTTATCGAAATTATGTAGTGTGTTTAAGTTCTGTACCGTGGTTTTTTTCATAATCTTTAAACAAGTTTCATTTACATAAAACTCATAACGTAACAACACAATAACAGAATATTATGATTGAATTTTTCGTAACCTGTTTCATTTTGTACAGGCTATGGTCGTCAGGATGCAGGTCACGATATCAAGGATCGATAGGCCGCCTCAAATTTTTGCGGCGGCCTTTTTGCATTATAGGTAAGCAATATCTATATTAAATATTTTTTATATAATAGTACTAACATTTTATTACGCAGTGTAATCAATTACANCAATAACAGAATATTATGATTGAATTTTTCGTAACCTGTTTCATTTTGTACAGGCTATGGTCGTCAGGATGCAGGTCACGATATCAAGGATCGATAGGCCGCCTCAAATTTTTGCGGCGGCCTTTTTGCATTATAGGTAAGCAATATCTATATTAAATATTTTTTATATAATAGTACTAACATTTTATTACGCAGTGTAATCAATTACACGTAAACTCAGTCTCGGAGTATTGTTTTAAATAAAGCTCAAAAAAAAAAGACGATAAAAACCTTATTAATTTCTGTAAAGACGTCATTGTGTTACTTTTATGGTAAGCATGTTACAAAAAAAGTCACGTTCGGTGTATGAGCCGCGGCGAAGTAACCCTATTTCTGGTGCGAGCAATCTGCTGCGCCGGTTGTGACCTTCGCATTTCGGCCTGCCCTCCCCAAGCGCTAGTTTCGTTTCGTGGCTGTACTCTCTAGGGACACGGTCCGCTCGAGACCTTACTACCTAACAAACATTGCAACACGATATTTCCACCAAGGACAATCAAATAAAACCGAAACAAAATTATTCAACCGACTTTCGTTCGTGAAAAATTGAACAAATGTTGGAACTCTATTCGTGTTTTATGCATTCTACGTAGGTATGGTTTCGTAGAAATAAACTCACTCAAACGTTGTATGAAATTTAAAACTGCATTACTGATGAGAATCCAATTAGTGAATGGCCAACCGTTTCTGATGATTCATTGAAAGCTTAAAGCCAATCTTAATATTATAAAAGGCAAAGGCACTTTACTTAAAATATTGAAGAGATTGTGAAGGTGGGGAAGGTGGATAAGATCATCGGAAAGCTTTTTGATTAGAATGTTTTTAAAATAGAACTGGCAAGTTATCTGAATAATAAATTGTTACAGGAAGGATTAAAGTTTAATTTTACCAGAAGCGATCTTAAGCAATTTTTTACTCTCAAATCTATTTTGTCGATTTATTGTTTTTGCGGAGATGGGCAGTGGAGCTTCCGTTCCATCAAAGGATTACTTGAGTCCATATTGGCATAGTGGTCTGAGTGCTGCCGCATTAAGACATTATGTCGAAATCTCAGATACATTGAAATTTCTGTGATCCTGTGCTCACAGATGGAGGACTAGGGAGTTGTAAAGAAACAAAAGAATCGGAATGTAAAATTGTAATGTAGATCAATATATGTAATAAAGCATTAGAATCCATTAGAAGAGTATTTTATAATATAGAACAGTGATTTTTAGAATTCTTGTCTGTCTGTCGGTTTGTTTGTTCACGCATCTCCGGAGTTCCTTTATAGATTTTAGGTAGTTCTCACAGGTTAATTTGGAGCAAAATATAGACTTTGTTTCATTAAAATAGAATGTTACGAAAGCGATCGTCACGGAAATGTTTTTAGAATTTCCTTTATTACTGTTACGTGTTAGAAGATAGCAATTAGTATTATTATAACTCTGTCCGTCTAGTATCATTTGACGCTAATACAAATAAACCTATTTTTTTGATGGAATTTGGAATGGAAATAGTATGAACTTGTCGAAAGAATATTATTGACTATCTTTTATTCCATTTCTTAGCTCAGGTTTACGCCCATACGATATATATATTTTATACTGGTGGTAGAACCTCTTGTGAGTCTGCGCGGGTGGGTACCACCACCCTGCTTATTTCTGCCGTGAAGCAGTAATGTGTTTCGGTTTGAAGGGTGGGGCAGCCGTTGTAACGGAAAGAGTATTATTGAATATTTTTTAATCCATTTCTGAGCTCAGGTTTACGCCCATGCGATATATAGTGTAGTTCATGCAAGCAATGATATAGGTAGCAAGCAGGATCTTTCATAGTTAGCAATAGATGAAACATATATATTTTTTGTATCAAATTCAAAAGGCTACTTAACAGTCAATAACATACCAACTTGCACACAAACTTCTACAAGGAACTCACAAACGGCGTCTCTACCGGCATGCGATACTCGAACTGAATCAAAGATTTTGATACCAATTATTGATTTATTATTATATTTGTGGAAACTTTCACATTAGGCTAGTGCCTCTGAGCGCCGGTCTTTTGCAGTGGCTTATCTGCTTATCGCTATTCTATGCGTTGATTGGAGATTCGTAATAGAGAAAAGTTCATACCGTGATCAATATTTTGTGATATAATATATTATGAATAGCCTCGTTTGTTATCAGACGTTACTACGATACTGGCGTCGTTGGTGGTTCTGGGTATGGGTTCGTCGGGGCAGGTTTTCGCGGCATCAGCGTTGCGCGGCCTGCGTTTCTTCCAGATACTTCGAATGGTTCGCATGGATCGTCGAGGTGGTACATGGAAACTACTAGGATCAGTCGTTTACGCGCATAGACAGGTACGTGTAAATATTATATGTATAATTATTATATTTTAAATCTAGAAATGATAAGCTAAAATGCGTAAATCAACATTTACAGTGCGGGTATACAGACAGCGTGGCATTCAGATTTATACATTCTAATGAAGTCAAGTGTTTTGATTCTACTAAACTAACTAAGTCATATGTGTAAATTTTTATATATACTTTACGTTCGAATAGTAACTAACTTGTATTATAGCATCCGTGGCCAATTATGTAAGACACCCTGTGTATTCATATGGAATGATGCTGCTATGCTTAGATTCCAATTTTCTGGCAGCTACCAATTGTTTAAGGAAACATATGTTCACAAATGAGTTCCACCTCGAAGGAATGATATGGTGGAAGTGAAGGAATATCTTAAAATTAATAAAATTCCCATATTTACGGTTAAGATAAGACTTATTGTATTTAAGTTATTCGCAACCATCGGTATCGTAACCACCATTCTGCCTATATCTGGTACAAAGCAGTCATCGTATTGGTTCGAAATGTCAAAGAAGTAATCTAACTGACGAGTACTTCTTCAATTGTGGTTTAAAAAGAGTCATCAGCGTGGAATTGCTGATTTCCACAAGCGAAGCTGACCACAGCTGAGCAAGGTGACGGTTCAAAAACAAATAGGCCGTCACCCCTTCACCCTTTTACACCGTAAAAAGAACTTAATCCAAATGAAAAATAGAAGAAAATTAAAGTAGAAATTAATCAAATTCAAGAAATAGCTTAAACTCCAGATAGACTATCGTTAGTGTGAACGAAAAATACTGAGGATATGACGGTGTGAATTAATCACTGTAATAAATCTTTTCGTTCACCGATTTTTCAAAGAGCTGTGTATTTAGATTATTTATTAATAGTATTACATTAATCATTGATTTTCATTGTTTTCTAGTTTCAACTGAACTAACATGTTTTGATCGTACATATCTATATATACATATAAACATGAATTCCTGTTCATTAGTCTCGCTAAAACTCGAGAACGGCTGGACCGATTTGGCTAATTTTGGTCTTGAATTATTTGTGTAAGTCCAGAGGTTTAAAAGGTAGATAAATATGAAAATGCCCGGAATTAAATAAAAATAACAATTTTGTTTTTCCTTTGATGTGTCCCCCGTCGGACGGATTCCTTTTGTTTGTTTTAAGTTTATTTTATACAAAAGTTTAGGTCTTTTATTTATTGATTGAGGTACTACGAAGTCTGCCGGGTCAGCTAGTTTATAATATAAACTACAGTAATATCTTTAAATCAGTGCTTTAAACGGCCTTGTATCTTTTAGCGATCAATCTAAGCATTGATGATCATGATCTTTGAAATTGATGTATAATAAATAGCACAAGTCAACAAGTGCCTTTATTAATGAATATTGTTATCAATAACATAATTATGTTTAGTAGAATGCCTCTAAATTTTCTTATCTAAAGACGTGTGAACTCAATTTCATACCCGCAAGTAGTGGCTCACCAGATTTATGTACATACATAAGTATGGTAGCTACGACTCAGTTGTTAAATATGTATAACCGGCTGCCTTCGTCGTTAGCTATACATCGATGTTGTGGCGAGATAAAATGCCTACATGCCGATCAAGTCCAATGATAAGCTTCGAAATAAAAGCAGTTTCAACGAAGTCAGCTTCGTAAACACTAAAAAAATTATAATATAAACAGTAACTTTAACATTTTGACTTTTTTATTGCTTAGATGGGCTGAGAGAGTGTCTTTATATATATGTTGTATATAAAATATAATATATACTAGGCTGTTCGAAATAACTGGGTCTGTTAACGTAAACAGATTCCCCAGCGTTGAAAAAAAAGGTGTGATGTGAGTTCTTTCACCTGTCTAATTGATAAATATATATCATTGCTTATGTTTATATATAATGTTCTTGAACATCGTTAGCCCGGTTGATATAATACTCAACATAGTAAATTTCCCAGACAAAAGAGAGGTTTTTTGCGTGGCTACCTCTGAAATATTCGTTTATTGTCTCTTTTTAATTTATGCTTATAATGGAGTTGAATAATTAATAATGCTGTTAAGCCGGCTCGAGCTTTTGTCAGTGTCCGAATCATTATGACACCTAGGTATATACGAGTGGTAGGACCTCTTGTGAGTCCGCACGGGTAGGTACCACCGCCCTGCCTATTTCTGCCGTGAAGCAGTAATGCGTTTCGGTTTGAAGGTTGGGGCAGCCGTTGTAACTATACTTGAGACCTTAGAACTTATATCTCAAGGTGGGTGGCGCATTTACGTTGTGAATGTCTATGGGCTCCAGTAACCACTTAACACCAGGTGGGTTGTGAGCTCGTCCACCCATCTAAGCAATAAAAAAAAGAGCATGTATTTATGTTTTTCACAATTCTAAATCATTACTATGTGTATTAAAAACATAGATAAACATGAAACGCTATTCGTTTAAACAGCCCACTTGAATAGTCTGCACGTTAACGCAGTCTCCCGTTTTTAATTACTATTCCACGTCTGAATATTAAATCGAAACGAAATTACGGCTACTTGTGCATGTCTACATGTACGCGGCCGATGGATGTATATTTTAGTGTCATGTGAAGGGTTCAGATACAACCTTAACTGCACATTTGTACACAAAATAAGTTTATACTAATTATAAGCTTTAGCTGTAGTAGTAAGTAGTGCAATTATTTCGACATTCAAGTTTTATTTACTTTTAATTCTCAACTGAATGACATTTATGTTCTAATTACGATAACTATGATGCGAAAACTATCTCGTTAGATACATGACAGTAATAATGTTTTATAGAAACACAGAATAAATAATATTTTGAAAAAGGTACATCTACGAAGGTTGCGGCAAGTTCGGATGCCCCAAAAAGTCTATGTACCCTTTTTTGAGGAAGTGAAATACATATTTGACAAGTCATTTGCATAGTCAGTTACAAATCAACGCAAGCTAATTTAAGCTATCTGGCTTACCCACAAATAATATGTGTTTGTTAATACACATAATTATTTATATCGAGTCAGGTATTTTTAATGGCGTGGTGACTGTTTGTTTTGACTTCCCATTTAATTAATATTCTTATTGGGAAACGTATTTATTATAATTCCTTAATTGTTGCTTAAATTGTGATGTTCTTATTTTTTCATTAATTACTTGTTATGCGATTCATGAATTTATGAAGTTATTTTAGTATTGGTGCTCAGCAATTAACAGTAGTAAATAATTAGAAATCCAAATGTAAATGTCATGCATATTATGTTCGTATTATTTAGAGTTCTAGAGATTCCAAAATACAGTCTCTCGGACGGTTCTCTACTATTTAATCAATCATCAAATAATCTAGATAAGTAATTTTGTATGTCACATTTTGTCGCTTTAGAACTTTTTAAAGGATTATAGCCACAATGTAGTCTGTCACAGTTATTTATTTGCAAGCCGCTCATACAAAAACAGGGTCGCGGAGTCCCCATCTTCGGGGCTGGCCTCTTACAACTTTGCAAAGGCTTATAGCCGATTATCTATGGCCTACTATCGGTCTACTGACCCAGTCTCTAACAAATGTGTACTTCTATCCTATAACGTGAAGGGTAATGCATACATTCTGGTTAATGTTTTCATTTCAAACTCGATGGTGGACATTGTTAAAATTACTTTATCGAAAATAAGGCATTTTTAGGTTTTTTTCTTGAAATCCGCATGATAGACTATTTGAACTATAATAATTACTGTTTACTATTTATTAGTGGTTGTAGGTAATGATACCAGTTCTTAAGAAATCACGTTTCAAAATTATAATTTGCGTAATTACTGGTGGTAGGACCTCTTGTGAGTCCGCGCGGGTGGGTACCTCCGCCCTGCCTATTTCTGCCGTGAAGCAGTAATGCGTTTCCGTTTGAAGGGTGGGGTAGCCGTTGTAACTAAAACATGAGACCTTAGAACTTATATCTCAAGGTGGGTGGCGCATTTACGTTGTAGATGTCTATGGGCTCCAGTAACCACTTAACACCAGGTGGGCTGTGAGCTCGTCCACTCATCTAAGCAATAAAAAAAAAACGTTTTTGATCATCTTACCGTGTGTACCTTCTTCCACTTTACCTTAATAAGGTCAAAATTTCGTGTAATGTAATAAATTCCGTAAATAATAATAAAAACACTTTTTTCTAAGTGCTATGCCAAGTCCATCTTTCATCATATCAAGTATATATTTTATGATAATAGCGAATTGGGTGAATATGTTGACTATAGTGTATAGAGTATAGTGACTATCGAAAATAAAAACAATTATAGATGTAAGTCTTAGATAGGATTGATCTGGTTTATTGAAAATGCAATATTTTATAGCAAAATTATTATCAAAAAACAATAGACCGTTAGAAACGTTTACTCTTTGTTTACGCCTACGTTTCTTGTTTGATGCAATAATTTAAAACAGATGCTGCTTGTTGAGCGGTGAATATCCGACGTATTCTTTGGATATAAATGATTAATTAATCTTGTGCGTGATAATTAGTGCGTTGAAAGTATAGGTTCTAGCAATATCGTGCCCTCTATTATAAAAGTTGTGGTTTGTTTGGTTCGGTTTTAATATGATAGTGTTCAGTTTTTCTGAAGCATATCGGAACTGTGTACACGGAAGCACGTGGTCGCCAGTAAAAGCATGGGAGATGGTAGTATTTAAATTGCACGTTGGTCTACCAGAGCATTCGCAGGATTAGATTGTACTATGTTGAACAATTAACAAATCTATTTTATTTTTTTCCACCGGATTGGTGTTTGATAACATAATCATAAAAACAATCTTATAGATTCTTCCTTCAGTTGTGCCCCTTATGTCTGAGGGTCGTGACATCCTCCATCCATGAGTTTTGTCCTCACGATGCTATGTTCTCTTGTTCTATATTTGGCTACTCTGGGAGCATTAGGGCGGCGGAATCGAGGTTGGTACAGACCTGGTCAGACTAACGCATTCGGCTGCGCCCCCGCGATCTTTTTTCTTACATTTTGCCAGTAGCCACCACTTTTTCAAAATTGTCCCCGTCTTTCCTGGCCTTTTTGAATATAGTTCTATTATGGCACCTGAGAAAAAAACGAAATTACATAGAAAATCAGTTAAGCACGGGCTTAGACGTATCTACTCGTAACGTGGTTAAGCTCCGGAACACAGATATTCGACACCGAACAGACATAATATCTTGTCTATGAAGGCTTTACTGTCTCTGTTTATAGCTTCGAATGCACATATACATGGCAATTTAATTTAACGAGAGCCTGAAGAAATGCATTTGAACAATAAAGAAACTGATTTATAGTATACTGACTGTAGTAGGTAAATTGATGCTATATTCATACTATTAATATAGAATTATATTAATTGTAAATATTAAAATATTTGTTTTACAAGTGTATTCGCATCGAGTAATATTACTATGGCTTTGTTCATGTCTTCTGTCAGGTATCTTTTTTTTTTAAATAAACCCGGCCGTATTACGTATGTTTTTACTTATTCGTTGGTAGCCTTAAGGGCAATTCCACTACGCGCCGATCGGTAGATGAGTTCACGGGATCAACCTCAGAGAATTGCCAACATAAGCCCTAGCAAGAGTAGTGCTTTGCTGAATATACCACCAGATTGGAATCGCGACTCACTGAGAAGTAAGAATGAGCATTGTCATCCGGTGAGAATCTCAGTGGGTTAGTAACAGGAACCACTTTCGCTATGAAGTAATAACAGCGCGTAATAAAAACTAAAAAAAATTCTTACGTAACTATGGTCCTACGGTATTACTCCGAGCCGTTTATGCTACGAAACAATTTGTGCTTTCCCCTTTGAAGAGTAAATACAATCAAGATTGAGCAAGTTGGGCGGCGGCATTGCCATCGTGGTGTCCTTTTGTTTCGGTAACCACTTAACATCTGCTCATCTACAGAAGAAAAATTAATATAAACTTAAAAAAATAATTATTTCAATGCACAGATTCAGATCAAAGTTGTTTTATTTTTATTGGATAAAAAGGAATAAAGTCGTTTTTTACTACATAATTCTTACAAATAATATTTTACTGTTCAAATTATTATTATTATTATAGCAGACAGCATTATTATATCAGAATTAGCAGAATCTAAACATATTATACAGGTATAACAAAAATGCTGACTAAACATAATTTATAAGCATATTAGGCCGCAATTTCCTCATTTCTTCCGCCAAAGATATATTAAAGTATTAAGTGTGTATAGGAAGATAACAGAACTCAATATCCACTCACAGTCGGCTGAGGTTAAAGTTGCATGACAATCCAAAGCAAATAAAACGAAGTACGCTGCCGGGTTTCGTGATACTCGAACAATATTGGGTTCGGAAACATTTTGTTCGAAAATAATGTTTTCTACTTCGAGCTATCTAACGATTAGACATCATGCTGTTTATCGAATAGAGTGCTCGTTCAAACTTTTCTTTTATACATTTATCAATTAACGTTAACTATAATTCATCAAGTTGTACAGGGCCGACATGGAAAATCAGTAAAAACCGAGTCTATTGTTTGTTTTCTTTTCTCCGCTGACAACAATAGAATGAGCGACACGTTCATAAATCACAAATTTAAACTAGTAACAGTTAAACGAACGTGTTTATTGATTGAGCACTGTGTGGGTGGTTTCTTATTACGTTACGATCACTTTATTTATATACGCCAAATAAACATTGAGCTCAGAGAAAGAAGTAGTTTTTTTTTTCAATGAAAATGTCTGAAATGTCGAACAAAAAGAGGCCTTGGTCACAAAATGTCCGTGAAAATGTTTCAGAAACGGCCCTTTCGCTTGTCGAACTGGCTTATAATACTGCCCCACGCGAGATTGAGATAAGTACTTATGAAAACTCAGTTTGTATTTTCCTCGACTGAGCGAGCTTGCTAAAGTAGAAAGCTTATCCTCATAATGTCTATGGTTCGTATACATTGGGTTCGAAGTTATCGTAAGCTTTCTACGGAGTACATAACCGAATTACTTTGAAACGTATTCGTAAATTACGTTTAATTATTGTTATTACGTACATTTTAGACTAATATTTCAAATAAGACATAAAATGCCATGATCAAAGCTACTCTCAGGCTTAAGTCATGCGGCTATTTCATTCATTTGACAATTACAGACGTTTAGAATACTTTACAGTTTTTTTGTGGTTCAAGCCGTACCTGTAAAGTACATACGTATGATGTGAAAATATGCATAATTGAAATAATAGATTTGAAACTAGAACTCAAATGTAGCGTTAGTCGTGTTTCCAACTCGCGAAATTATAAGAAAATACAATCGAAACTATAATAATAATCAGACAGATAGGAGTATACATTCTATAAAAGAAAAAAATAACAAGCAGACCAAAATAATGTAATAGTGTAATGTACATTTATTTATAAACCGTTCGTATATGTAACGTGAATTAGATGAAATTTCAGAAAGGTTTCATTCTTAACTATAATTGAAGCCCGGAGTTTGCCGTTTGCCGAATCGAAGCTAGCACAGCTCCGTAGATGACGTCACCAAGAAAAAAAAAACGTCTAAGATGTTTTATTATTATTAAACGAAATTAGAAGTAGGGGCATAAGAATACACCAGAAATAAAGAAATTAGTATTAGTAGGTCCCTTTGATTTGACGATAAATAGTTAGTTTTTAAATTGTGTTTCATACAGCACCAGTGCTGAACTTATCTTTGTGCTTAGTAGCCCTGAAGACGTGTTCACTTCTATTTATGATTACTTTATACAATTTGATAAATGTAGTAAATTTTCTAGTCAACGATATTGTATATGATCAAGGTCTTAGTTTTTTGCTGATTCTTCTCTGCGGTGAAACTATATTCTGAATCAGTGATAACGTTATGACGACCCGAAACTGCTTGTAAAAGCCTAATTCAATAGATAATTCTTTTTTAACATCTTGTTCGAATTAGGCAACGATATTGATCCTTGTAGTAAGTAACCTAAGAATTAAACTATTACGTATTGTTTCAGGAATTAATAACGACTTTATACATAGGTTTCCTTGGATTGATATTTGCATCGTTTCTAGTCTATCTTGCTGAAAAAGATGTAGCCGATACCAAATTTAAAAACTTTGCTGAGGCTTTATGGTGGGGAGTGGTGAGTTTTTATGAGATATTATATTTAAAAGTTTGATGTATGAGATTTAACTAATGTCATGATGTGAAGTGGTAATAGCCATAGAATTATTATTATTATTAATATTTTAAAGTTTTTCGCCTTAAATGTGTGTTGTGTAGAAGAAGATTAGGATGAGTTGATTAAGTGTACAAGTATTTTACAAATGTAACATTTAAATAAATAAATAAATCATTTCTATAGATATAGAAATTAAACAAAGAGCATCTATGAAAATCTTAATGTACAAGTGATTTGATTGGTATTTAAAACCCATAGATCACGCTGTGCACGGTGGGATATGGCGACATGGTGCCGCAGACCTGGCAGGGTAAATTCATTGCATCTTTTTGTGCTCTGCTTGGGATATCATTCTTTGCCCTTCCTGCGGTAAGTATGGTGATAAAGAAACTAAGTTTTCAAACTAAAATTCTTTAAATCGTCCACTGAATTTCTAGTCTTTTACTCTATACATACCTACTTATTTTAAAATGTATTTTCAAGCGTTTTTGAATTCATACGTAGTTGACAGACTTATATATAAATGTAATTATTTATGATAGACGCCTCTTTTGTTACTTTTACTTGATACCTCTCTGTAATAGCGGATACAGGTACGAAATAAATTCAATCAAAATACTTCGTCGCGAAGGCACAATCAATTTCAGAGCAGGGAAAAGTTCATCGTAATACTTAATACTATCAAGAATGTCTTTCTTTGAACAGCTAAAATGTTAGCATTTCGTACTGTGTAAGGTAAAACGTATACTTAATAAAAATGAAAAGAGAAAGCTTCAATATGCCTCGGTACCGTCTTTTACTAACAACTTCAGAGTAAGTGCCAATTCAAATTTATTGCAGCAGTTAAACGGACCGTTTTTATAATTACGTCGACCGATTTTAATAAAGTGGGCTTTCAGTGTAAAACTCTTTCCTTTTAGAAGTGAGTATAAATGTATAATATGCAACCACGATCATTTAATTCTTATATTTAGATATTATACTATTATAAACTGGAATAGAATTCTGTGTGAGCTTAGGTGTATTGTTCCTTTCATCGTATGTTGGTTAGTTCGAGCATCACACAAAGTAATTTTAATATTTAAATAAGAAACTCATATGATCAAATAAAAAAATTGGGTGCATCGTAATTATACATATTTCATTAGGCTGTCATAACTCAAATATATGACAGAAAAACCACATTTGTTACAACAAATTCACCTTACTCTAAGTTGAGCCCCACATCTTAAGATCAACTAGAAAAAGGTTTTGCGGTAGGCAGCGGCTTGGCTCTGCCCCTGGCATTGCTGAAGTCCATGGGCGACGGTAACCACTCACCATCAGGTGAGCCGTATGCTCGTCTGCCTACAAGGGCAATAAAAAAAGAATGTATCTATCATTTTAAAACAAATTTAGCGTAGCCTTTTATGTAAAATTCGTGAATCAGATGTTTATTCCATATCGCGCAGGGTATTTTAGGTTCGGGTTTCGCTTTGAAAGTTCAGCAACAGCAACGTCAAAAGCACATGATAAGGAGAAGACAGCCAGCGGCAACACTCATACAGGCTTTGTGGAGATGCTACGCGGCTGATGAGCATTCCATGAGCGTTGCTACTTGGAAAATACACCAGATCCCGTTGCCTAGTCCTCAGACAAGGTGAGTAGTAAATGTGTCTATGGACTTTTGCGAGTGAAATTATATAAATTATTTGTAGACATTACGTCCTTGATCTCGAGATTGACATAAATTTATAAATGAAATATTATAACAGCGGTTGATAACAAAACAGCCGAACGGTTGTATTATTTAGGTCATGGAATTTTGGATAGTAAAAAATACTTGATTGATAAAAGAAATATACAACGTAGCTTCAGCGGTGAATCGATTGTAAAGTGTCATATATCCATACTTTTTTCCTTCATGTTTCATATTATTATTTTATGACGTTTTAAGGCACGAAGGACAGACGTAACAACTATGTGGTTTATTTGTCAGTCGAGTGATGAGCGCGTCATTCAAGAACAATGCATCCTTTGTGTCGCGGTTGCCGACGATCCGACGGCACAAGACCACGTCCCTGCACTCCCCCGCGCCGCACTCCAAGCCGGCGCACAGATACGACGTTAACGCTAGCGCTGAAAATCTCGGTGAGCATTCAACAATATTCTACACAACTAACTTAACTTACACAATGCTTTCAACAGATTATTTGTGTCACAGAAACACGTTAGATAAACAACCTGAATGTGTGTTGGTTGTCGGATTAACACTGAGACTTTACGAATAATAGTGTCACCAGCGAAGTATAGAGAAAGAATGTCATTTATTGAACACAGAACACAAACAAGTAACAACGAAACAGTATGTAGAACCTTAATCGGCAATAAGAGCACTCAATCAGAAAACATGTGTTTCATCCAAAAATCCATATATATAAAACTAAACAAACTTAGAAGAAGAGCTGCAATCAATACACTGATTTCTGATTATTATTGCAAGAAGAAACCGGCGCAGGAAATTGAAAACGTAGCCGCAACCTGATGGCATTCACACACGATATTCTACAAGAAATCACAGAAGCGAACATTTCCCACGCGACATGACAATGAAACAGCATTTATATTCACAACACGTTGACGAGTTGCAGCGCTGAACACTGTTTAAAGGAGTGATGGAATCGAGAGTGATGACATTTATTGCCCTGTTCCTTAGATATTCATACACCGGGAGGGGACCGAGCGTGTTGTCTACTTCATTGTTGGAAAAGCTGCTTTAAAGGTTCTATTCTACATCTTTTAGACGGCACTATGGCATGACATATTACAGTCAATAAACTTCTGCTGCGTTCCTTATTGATTCTTATTAGTAAAATCTTTACAGAAATGTGAATACACGAAAAGCGAATGTGTGCGTAGCATTCAGCCCGGACATATTATCTCATTTCCGGCAAATAGCTGCGTTTCTTAGTTCGAGACACGATGCTGACATCTTACCTACTTTCTACTTCTTTCCATATATTTTTTCACTTTTTAAAATACAATTGCACCCGCGTAGTTAAAGACGCTTCGAAAATATTTACGATACCTACTTGTAATGCAATGAAGAGCTTCATGACCTACTTTTAACGAAGTGGCTTCTAAGTGACAATCGCTTACGCGTTTTAAGATTTTTTGGGAATTATAAAAAAACACAACATTTGATTAAGGCGCGAAGAATATTGCGTTCATTTAGATTCATAAAGTGAGGTTCACAAACTGAATTTCAGGATTTCCAAGCGTATAGCGTAGGTATCTCATTTTATTGGAATGGCTTAGTTCAAGGCTTATGTTTTACCATCGGTAAAATTACAAAATGACATTGATTATGTACACTGCTTTGCATTTTATATTATGCATGCCAGATAGTTAATAGGACTCGTGTAATATATGGAATTAAATACGTAGCTAAATACATATTTCCATATGTACGTAATGTTTTCGAAGGTTAGGTACTGACTTAGTCGTACAACAAGTTCAAAATACTTGGTTTGTTGTTTATCGTTTTATCTCGTATTATTTATGAAACTGGTCGACGTCCGCCTGTCGTCACATCAACCGTTTTCAATATCTATGAATCTCAAACACGAATGCGAGATTTTTTATTTCAACCAAATTTTAGGAAGATTTTTATCTAATGTTATATTTTAACAGAAACACTATTCAATTAAATTGATTTGAAATGTTATAATGAAAAAGTATAAAAGAAACTGCACATGATTATTCACTTATTATTTCATAATTTAGGAACAACATCAGTTGCCGTGTGGAAAATGATAAACGTAGCCCTGCTACGAACGTAGCAAGGTTACGCGTTTTTAAGATAAGGATGCCGGTTAAATTATGATCCCAATTACTAACGTAATAGATAATAACTATTACGTAACAGATATTGTAATAATATTACCAGAATATTACAATATAATTAATTATTAACTGCAGTGAAACATATAAAATAAGGGGTATTATAAAAAAAAGAAAAAAACTATGCGGTGCTAAATAGTCAATCGAGTCACAGTTAATGCAACATAAAATATGATGATATTCCAAAGAAGTTTTTATGTCGGTAGCAACTTTCGTGTCAAAATCACGGTCTCCATTACGTTCATGTGCTTTTATTTATAATGAAATTATGATCTACTTCATACTAGGATATTTTGAGACTAATTACCCGTAACGAATATTTATCGTATGTTTCGCGGAAGCGATAGCACTGGTGCAATTTGTTATCAGGGCTATATTTGAATTATGTTATCAGAGCGAAAATGTACTGATATCTCTTGTTAATTTAATATTCGGAAAGAGCTCTACTTCAAATGAACAAAATTTATAATAATGTGTATGAAGGAATAAGTTTTATGCTGAGTGATTTCAATGGTTTCGTACAAAAAACGTTTGACTATAGCTAAACAGAGACGGAAAATGGATCGATAGTTTGCCTGGGACATTAAATAGCAATCGTTGCATTGACCTCTTTATTTAGGTGTTTATTCGTGTAGTCGCTTTCAATACTTTGTGAATTATAATGCAATTGAAAATGACACATGTACACTATAAAAAAAATAACCAAAAANAGTGATTTCAATGGTTTCGTACAAAAAACGTTTGACTATAGCTAAACAGAGACGGAAAATGGATCGATAGTTTGCCTGGGACATTAAATAGCAATCGTTGCATTGACCTCTTTATTTAGGTGTTTATTCGTGTAGTCGCTTTCAATACTTTGTGAATTATAATGCAATTGAAAATGACACATGTACACTATAAAAAAAAGAACCAAAAACATTATTGTAACAATAAAAACAAAGGTCGTAATCGGAAAGTAGACCTCTGAATGATATTGACACTCAAGACTTAGCGGTAGGCAGCGGCTTGGCTCTGCCCCTGGCATTGCTGACGTCCATGAGCGACGGTAACCACTTACCATAAGGTGGGCCGTATGCTCGTCTGCCTGCTCGGGCAACAAAAAAAAACTTGCTTATATCGGATAGATAGATTCATGTGTTAACCGTAAATACTTATGACTTCAACTCTGCATTCTGTTAAATCACAGCGTAAGCTGCATAAAACTCGAAAATAATAATATTTATAAGAAACAATTATTCCAAGCGTAAAGTACAAAAAAAAAAAAAACACAACAACAAACATTATACATTTAAAATGAAGCTCGGAAACAAATACGGCTTTCTTTTAAATTTATTTTAATTGCGTTTATCGGTGAAGGAGCTAATTACTCTACTTGTGAAAAGTGGCTAACAAAGACATCACAACGTGAATGCCACCATTAGGACATGAGTTTGAAGTCGCAACTAGATCGCATCGTTTCATTTCGTAAATACTTAGGGTAGTACGAGTTGTTGCGGGCTAACAATACGCCATACCACCAGTAAAAGCCAATTTACAATCGCAGTGCGTTGATATAATACTCAGAGAACGCTGTTGCTTATTATCTGGTGAATATTTCTAAATCGCTTTTTACGACACCCATGTAAAGAGATGAGATGACACTATTCTAAAAAAAAACAAATACTATTCTAGGCTAAACAGTCAGTAACGACAAAAACTAATTGTGAATCAATCGGTAGGTCAGCACCGATCTTCCATCGGTAACTGTGGAGCAGTCTAATACTAGACTAGTTTATTATTCATTTAATAGTATGACAAACAAAAAAATATAACCGAAAGCTCAAGAACCATATTGAATGCATTTGTTACGTTGCCTACAATACGTAACATGAAAAATTTATATTCTACATACGTTTTTATGCATAACCGTTATTTTTACAAAATTTCATGATTTTTTAAATATGAGGCACAAAAGAATAATAAGTAATTTGTTATTTTTATCTTGGACTAATTTCATGGGATGAGCAGAACATGTATGTTGGAGATTGATTTAGTTAACTGTTTTATGATCGACCGCTTGCGTGACGTCAACCCTTTTGAGTAATGATAAGCATTGGATTGACAAATCAGGATAACACTTAGTTTTATGGTTTTGTTGTATGCTATTTTTATGATATAATCTACGCAAAAAATAAACAATAATATTAATTTACTGATGGCATTGTGTACCCTAAGGGACGTGTCGCTAGGCAGTCCCAGTGCTTTGTCCTTGGCGTTGCCGATGTTCATGAGTATCGGTGACCACTTATTATGAGTAAATTGTGTATTTGTTAGCCTACAAAAGTAACAAGAAAATCCCTGCCTATATCTGACGCAACACAGTCTGGCTTTTAAGGTTGTTAAGAAAAGACAACCGAACTATTTTACAATAATGATGTCGTCATGTATTAAGACGATAGATCGGTAGGCAGCGGCTTGGCTCGGTAGGCAGCGGCTTGGCTCTGCCCCTGGCATTGCTGAAGTCCATGGGCGACGGTAACCACTCACCATCAGGTGGGCCGTATGCTCGTCTGCCTACAAGGGCAATAAAAAAAAGAAAGAAAGACGAGTGTTGGCCTTTCGCGTTGTTATATCTAAGAACTAAAAGTAAGGCGAAGATACCTAGTACGTACGGATTTAGCGGAAGAAGTCTTTTAAAGTAGTAGATACTTTTAGAATACCGATAGAAAGCCTCAAAGACTGTTATCGTCTACAATTCTGTAGAATATGATTATTTTAAGAGTATTACTACGGAAACTTTGAAATACAAATTAAGATGTTCACTTTTAAGCAACATAAAAATGAACATGCATTTCTTTTCGTCTACAGTTTTATTATTTGCTATATACATTCTTGTGATTTTTATTACGGTAACGGTCTAAGCTGTGTTGTATTCCACCAGTACTAGTAGCACTGGTAATGAGATTTTTGTTAAATAATACTAAAAGACGTTTGTTTTTTCAGCATACAGCGTGGAACAATTTTATTTCTAAAAGTCTAGGATGTATCTTTGTTTCATGAATCTACTCAGTAAATGAGTTCTCGCGTCTCTCGTTTTTTTTTTTTTTTTTTTTTTTTTTTTTTTNCGGCAGATGTACCACGAACACAGAAACAACAAAAGGAAACAAAACAAATAAAAACTTCCAGAAAGAGCACTTAGTCGGCAGATGTACCACAAACACAGGCCGCGCGAACAATGGCCGGGCTAACAAAAGCCGGGCGAACAAAGACCGGGCGATCGAGTGGACGATGAGCACGTCCGCACGTGACGGGTGCCTCTATCGGAATGCGTCTCTCGTATTTATATACTGGATATATTCAAATATCAGCGTGAAGGTCGTATCTAATCGAGCTACACAGTAACATTCAACGATATTTGAAAGAATATACAAATAAGTTAATTTGGATTCTAGTTAAGACTTGATTCGAGATAATATCTCGTAACATCTCGTAACGCTCTACCGTTCGCGGTAGGCAGCGGCTTGGCTCTGCCCCTGGCATTGCTGAAGTCCATGGGCGACGATAACCACTCATCATCAGGTGGGCCGTATGCTCGTCTGCCTACAAGGGCAATAAAAGAAAAAAAAAACATAACTGGTGACCGACAGTCGATGAAATTACTATTGAAATAAGCTTTAGCTGAGATCGACAACTCAACCAGTTTTTCGGAAAATTCGTTTATACCAATTTGTTTGAATTTCTCACCCACCATTAGAGGCGCTCGATAACGATAAAAGATAGCGTTAGATTTAACTTTAATTTTACGAAACATTACTACATCTACTCGTATTATAGGTTGACATAATGAGTTGTTCTTTAAAGATAACTTTAAAAAAATAAACATTTTAATGTTTTCAATTGTAAATTCAATTCCATTTTAAAGTTACATAATCCGTAGGACCAAGAACGCATTCCTTTCAGCGGCTGGGCTATAGTTTTTTTATACCTCTGTAATATTTTTAAACATATAGTTTAAAAAAATAAAATCTTAAAAAGGGTCACTTAGAAATCTACCTGATCGTATTATAGATCAGGTAGATTTAGATATAGTATTGTGAAATTTAGTGTATATCGCATTAATTATAATGCGACATGTTCAATATGAAAGGTTTGAAAAATTGATATCTGATATGCGCCCAATATTTGCGTGTTGGATAGCTGAAATAATTTTGGTTTGAAATTTAAATGTGAAGTAGTGGCAAACACATTTTGTTGCAAGCCTGAGCTATTGATCCGATTTCTGAGGTACATTAAACCAACTAATCGAATCTAAATAAGCAACTCTGTAAGGAATTCGATATTGAGGAACATTTACCGTATCTCTTCTGTTCTATTACGAATGACAATGATGTCAAGAAAATATTGATGTTAACTTTGGCGTTACGTTAGGAAAAAGAGCCTATGGCGAATGAGCCTATGGCCTATATGTACGAAGGCTCTTATTACATATTATGTTCAAGGAAATATATTATGTTCTTAAGAATTCGGTAAATCTGTTTGAAGTGAAGTAATGTTTTGGAGAGTAAATAAATGAGCGCTCGTGGTATTGGTAAGTCCCTCTTATATAATCAGAGGAAAATATAAATATCTTTTCCTTTGGAGATTTTCTACCGCCTTGTAATATAAAATAAGATGAAAGACGAATCCTACTTAGCATAAGCTATTCGGTGCCGTACAGTATCATTTGGGAGATAATATTTAAGCCGCGTTTTGCATTCGGTGACATTTAAAAGGAGTTAATCGGATTTTCTTTACCAATTTGTTTTATTCATTTCGTTTAAAATTATAATAATTAATTGAATTTAAAACTCATTACTTTTTTGCCCACTGTTTGTGGTATTTCAGCCTGTTCATAGCTCCTACCCATCGAAATGGTAATGATTGAGCAAATTACATTTTGTGAAGTAAACAATTTTTATGATTAAAATTCATCTCTGTAATAAAAGTGTCAAATGATCATGTCATCTATTCTCTTAGTCAAATCGTGCGTTATGAGCATTTGATACTGTTACAAAAATGGCCATTAAATAATTCTTATATATTAATCTTTCACAAGTAAGATTTTTTTTTAATAAACAAGCAATGAATTATTTCGGAAATGTAATGATTTTTACCACTATAATAGAATTATCTTTTAGTCGAAAGAATCGATTTACTATCTTCTAACTTCTTCACACTCATCCGCATATTAATGCGTTAAAAAGAGCTTTGTTTTTTTTAGAATATTTTTAAAACTAGGCATTTTAATAATACTTCATTATCTTGTAAAACTTTATGATTAATCATGAAAACAGACATGGGTTCGCTGTTTAGGGGAAATAACTTTATATACCCACGTAAATAAACCCGACGTTATCTAGTCAACAGCGTTCTCGACTCACCCATTTACATCACAAAAAAACTGACTGACAGACAGACAGGCGGATTCTGGTTTCAAATTTAATTCCGCGCTCTTCTATTGCATTCGACTAAAAGTTACGTTTGTGAGAATATGATTGAATAATTGGGATCTATCAGACCATATTATGAAAACATGTATAAATGTCGGCTGAACAAAATGTTTCGGTAGGTTGTGTAAGGCGGTGGCTAGGTAAAAGAGAGTAAGACCTAGTGTTTGAATTGTGCGTGTGTGTGACAGGCGCGACCAACGGACGAACAATGCGGACGCGACCTGTCAACCCTTCGCAGAGTGAGGACTCAGTAGCAGAAACAGCCCTCTCCAAGAGAAACTCGGACGGTAAGACGTACGCCATTGGGCAGCCTGCAAAACACTAATTGTAGCCCTACATTAATTAGAAGGACCTGTTCACTGATACATTTCTGCTGTTGCTTTGGGGTAGCTTAATAATTCTGTCATTTAACACAAGCGTGTATTTAATGGACATTCAACTCAACGACATTTCAAACACAGGCTCTCTTTTACTACATATTCTCTTGTAACATTCTATACTAAAGATATTATTCTTCAAAAGGTATTCATTTCAAAACTTATCATAAAATCTAAATTTCACAAGTATTCACTAAAATTTCAAAGTTATTTGTTATTTTAAAAGAAATTCATGGAAACTATTTAGTGATATTAATATTTATAAATACCAGAAACAGTACTGGATTTCATTGGCACTATAAACACTTAAGTGGTGTATAGATGTCGTATATATCATAGAAGTAATATCCTTACTACTAAATAAACAAAGGTAATGAGATATACTAGACATGGCCATCGATATTTATCGAACAAAAATATTTTATTCGCTTCAGATAAATTGTTCTGAAATCAGGCTTACCTATTAAAAAGAGGATATTAATGTGCTTCAAATATAGGTATATAAAATTTTGAATGTATTATTATATTATTTATGGGTCAGTTATTGATTCGGAATGGCCATTGGGAGATTGTTTTTCGGTCACTGAAAAAAATGTGTTCTATCAAATTCGATATTGTGCGTGAGCTAAATCCGTGTTCTCGTTTCCAATGTATGAGATGTGAATGCTAAATTGAAACCGTTGTTTTGTAAAGATCTGTCGATAAATTCTAATTGAATACCTAATGTTATTTACTTTGTAAGAATAAAATGTAAATTAAATAGAAATATGGAAATATAACTATGTTTGAGTCTTTACCATAACTTGACCTTTTTAACCTATGTTCTATATGACTATGATTAGAAATTAGACTGATAAGAACACACGTTTAAATTGTAATTGTATATATTTTTGTATTTTATATGATCATAAATTAATTATTCTTTTTAATAATTAAATTAAACATGATTTTATTGTTCAACATTACATGATTTGGTAAAAATCCGATTTTTTGTTTGTCTACTACATATCTACAATAATACGTTTCTTTTGACGACTATAGACGTAGAAGGACGCATTTGTAGGTAGAATTAAACTTGGGAATTCACTATCCGCTATGTGAATTATTACAATGTGCGTTAGATTAGTTTCCCGCCCTTCGTACCTTTTCTGTTACCTGCCCATTCTAGTGTTAAGGGTCGAGATGCTGTTATTAATGATTGCAGTTTGTACCTACATCGTGTAATTGCTTTTGGGAATTTGTTTACTATACTGAGTCAGTTGTGCAGAAATTTAGATTATTTATATATTTCAAAGGTTAAGTTAAATAGTACTCATTATTGGATATACCATTTTAACAAATGTAGATTTAATAAAAAAAAACTTGATGTACTTGCTGTCGTATAACTAATAAACAAAACGTAAACGTCGCTAAACATCTTGAAACATGAGGTCCAAGCACCTAATCAATGGCATAATAGTGGCTGCCTTTTTAAGCCAGGACTTCTTGGTTATATAAATTGGTACTTACCTTGACATTTATAAAACGTTCTGCGATTATCAATTTTACAAAGATCTCTGCTGATCATAAGAAAGAAGGAATACAATAAAGCGACCCCTACATAGAACACCAGTGCGACTACCCTGCATGAGTTTCTCACAATACTCATACCTCCTGGCTGAAAGCACAAACTAAGGGTTGTGCAAAAGAGACCGAACATAAGCCTTTACATCTTAGGTCTCACTCCGTTCTTGCCATGTTAGCCACCCCAACCACGAGTCAGTCACGCCATGTTAAAATTATTTTGATTTTTTTATTTCACATTCCAGATACAATGATATTACGAATTAATGATAATGAGAAATACAGTAGTGATAAATATAAACTTAAAAATTCCTTCATAAAAAAAATCACATACTTCTTACACTATGCTAAGTCTCAAAAAACAAACATTTTTGCCGTTTCAATGTAAAATTTGAATGCGTATAACCTTACAATCGAAGACCAACCACGTTTATCATAGTGTGAGTGACAGCAAATCAATACTGTGCCATTGTAATTAAGGCGACACAAGCACGAAAGCGTTGCTCACTAATCGGAACGAACGTACCTATAAGTTTGAAAGCGGCTTCAAGACCAACTAGAACGCGAGACGAACTAACTCTATTTCTAGTTACAGTATTTGTTTTCTTTGTGTCCACAATAGATTTTTGGATGACGTTATGAGTTCTGGAAATCGGATTAAACAGACCTTTGTTTATCATGAGCGATAATAGCGCCGAAAAAAAAAAACGTTATTTTTGTTACGTCCTGTATTGCAATTTCGAATTTTTCGATTTACACAAAACGTTTTAGACTCTCAGCTTTGTTGTTATGGAGCTTTGGTCTATAAGGGAATTAGCTTTACAGAGCTTAGAGCTGTTACTCGCTGTGGAGCACTCAGTTCCAGATAACGACTTTTAATTCAATTTAGAAAAACTCGTTAGTGTTGAGTTAAGTGATTCTCAGTATTAATTTTACGTGTATCCATTTTTCAACGAATCCGTAGGATTTGTTGCAATTGTTTTGTGATTTATTTTGTTTACTTGATAGAAATGTACTAAGAAAATCAATAATGTAGCGTGCGGGTTTTAATATATAAGTACTGTAATTACAATTACTTTAATTGTAAGTACTTGAACATAATAATATATTGTAATGTTGTAAAAGCAAAGATTATTGTTATAAGATCATTAAGAACAATCATTGTCGTTTTGAAATCCTATGTTTTACTTTAGAATTTGATATATCTAGAATTTTTATAATTGTTTTTTTTTTCAGATGAGGAAGATGAGCCACGCTGTGTTACTCTAACGCCGCGACACAAAGCTGCAATACGTTTTATTAGAAAGGTATTTATTTATTTACATGATTTATCAATAAGAAAAATTTTAATGCGTAATTGTAAACTGATATATTTTTTCTATAAAAATTATATAATTACCAGTCATTAAACTCAACTTTGATACACAACACGCATGGTACACTAGGGTAATTTTCTTTAGATTTGAGAAGAAACGTGCTTGACGATAAAATTTAAAAATAGGCTTAGATAGGCCAGATAATAGGTATTTAAAATTTCTATTGCTGTCTGTTCGCTCAAACCACCTCGAACAGAGCACGAAAGGGACAACTGCAGATCGGACTGGAAATACTTTTGTAGAGCACTCGGAATCGACATTTTGAACGTATTCCCTTGTTTCCTTCTCCAAAGCTTGACCGATATACATTTTTGAAGTGAAAACTTCATTGTCATCGTTCAAAATGAAATTCGAATCTAAATAAAACTCGAAAGGAGACAATAATAAGTACTTGAATACATATATGTAGTTAGTATTTTTTTAATCCTAATGTTCCCGATGAGGATATTAACCCAAAGTTATTGTATTGTCATCGGTCCTTGACCACGTGCAAAGTTTCAAATTAATCAGATGTCTTGTAGATAATTAAAATTACGTTGTAATATTTCATTCTCAGATAAGAAGGTTTTGGAGTAAATTCCACGTATAGTTTTGTCTATTAATGGTAAAATTAGTTTTTATTCATGATTGAAGATCAAGGCAAAGGCTTATGATTGTATGTGTATTTTGAGGTATTTTTACATAAGTGGTACATTTTCGTTGATTTTTAAAATCACTAAGCTGCAGGAAACTTTTTGGCAACCTCTTTGTATGTTATGCTTTTATTTTAATCATAAAATGCTTTTTCGGAATGTCTGATAATAGCGGAAAAATCGAGGACTTACATAATTTTAGAAGGCTCCTAATGTCCTTAACCAAGATTAAAAAAATATTGCCCTAGTAGGCTAATGAGCATGCGGCTCTCCTACTGCTTACCGTCGCCCATGGACTTCAGCAATGCCCGGAGCGGAGCCAAACCGGTGCTTTCTGATTTTTGGAAAAATATCTATCTAGATGGGTGCGGTAGCGCTAAGTCGTAATAAAATATTTGCTCTAGAGTCATTAACCCGAGAGGAAACAGGGCAATACGATTGTACAGACTAAATACACTCTTCTTACGAGTTTGGCCCTCAACTACAGATCCGTTCGTTTAATTAAAATTTTCACACTAACTATTAGTCTCGATTATTTTTATACTACAGCTTGAAGTAAAAGTTAATAAAACACATTTACATAATTAATAAGAAAAGAACCCATTCCATCAAGATACACTGAATTATTAAACTTGTTTGCAGCCTTTGAAGTGTTTTCTTTTGTCCTCCGCCATTTCGTTATTATAGCGTATAATAAAATATCTCTGAAGGTTGACATTTTTTTGTTGTTTAAATTTTCATTTTTGTTACCAGTGTTACATTCGGAGTAGTGTTTTAGAAATGTATGAAGTTTTACAGCTTTCGCAATGAATTAGTCTCAGCTTCAATTTTAGGTGGTCATTAGTTACGAGAAAGTTCATTGTTTTTGTAGCTTTCAAGTATTTATATTATCGAATTCTAACAGATGAAGTATTTTGTGGCCCGACGTAAGTTTAAGGAAGCGCTAAAGCCATACGACGTCAAGGACGTTATAGAACAGTATTCCGCGGGCCATGTCGACCTGCTGGGCCGGGTGAAAAACGTCCAGACTAGGTATTACAGCTACCAGCGAACCCTTCCACACCATGCACTACCATTCCACCTACCATCTTTTATACCTACGTTCTTTTATTTTTCGTCTGGACTGTACCTATACTATGTCTTGTAATCTATGTAGCCAAGTTAGCCTCAAGTCTAATACCTGTAAAACGTAGTNGCGGGCCATGTCGACCTGCTGGGCCGGGTGAAAAACGTCCAGACTAGGTATTACAGCTACCAGCGAACCCTTCCACACCATGCACTACCATTCCACCTACCATCTTTTATACCTACGTTCTTTTATTTTTCGTCTGGACTGTACCTATACTATGTCTTGTAATCTATGTAGCCAAGTTAGCCTCAAGTCTAATACCTGTAAAACGTAGTAGTTAGTGTGTGCAATGCTATGTTACTTTTATACATAACGCATAACTATAAAACAAAGCGGCTGCTTCAAAATCACTTAAACGGTAGCCTATACTGATATTTGTAGGTACAAACACCTTAATGTAGTATTTAAATGCTTTCGTGGACTTATACGTTAATGTATGTATTCGAAAAGTGACCCATTAGTATCAGATCTTGTAAAAAAACATGTGATTTGGAGGTAGCCTTGACACTGAAGACTTCAAATGAATGTTTCCACTTCGGTTTCTAAGATACATGCGTCCACATACTTGTACATCGAACTAATAGTCACATCACCTGCCTGACTTATTACACGTTCGTTTTAAGGATTTTTAATGGATTCAAACGATCGGTTACATTAAACATATTGTATTTGAAGACATTCAAATGATAAATATGGCTATTATACAGTTTTGATAAATGATGAACACTAAATGATTGCTGCATGGCTGCCAAAATCAAATACCTAGAATAGTGGAGTACTTTTCTATCCATTAAAAGCGGATATATATGTATTCCGTTACGGCAACCCGCTATACTTTCATTAGCAGTTTGCATGTGACTTTCCATTAATACAAACAGGACATAAATCTACAGGTTATGAATGGGTTCCATTATTAACGATAAATTACCACGCTAATAAGCCGGTCCAAATTTAAAACGCTCAATAGTCCTACCTATCCGTATAATAAAAGCATAATGCTATAGGGCGGAGTTTCAAAAACCGTAGTTTTGAAGTTTACAACATAAGCCAACAGGATCTGTATTTTATTTTCGTGTAGCTCAAGTATTTTGTCGCACGCAAGAGATTTAGAGAAGCGTTGAAACCTTACGACGTGAAAGACGTGATAGAGCAATACTCTTCGGGACATGCGGATCTGCTAAACCGAACCAAGAATTTACAGTACAGGTGAGAAGAGAGGTCGTCTGTCCCGTGCCCTGCACCGCCGGCTTTCGCCAGCAGCTCCTCATTCACTCTCATCATTTAAACTGGCCTTACAAATTCATGCATCTTTGGACATGAATATCATGATTACATCAAACTACGAGGGTTTAATACCCAACTAACACTGATTTTATTGTGTTGTGTGATATAAGTTGTTAGGTAGTTTAAGAAATACGGCGGAAATTACGAGTGATTATAAAATCTTGGTGGTGATAAATATTATTTAGAGAAAGTAAATAGCAGAAGTAAATACAATAAAATTCACTAGTTTTATATGGATTTTCGTTGTAAAATACTAAGCTGAAATAAAGTCCAAAAATAGAATAACGTTAACACTGCTGTCTCCTTCAGATTTAAGTCAAAGTCTTAGTTGTATTAGCATATCGGATATCCTACCCATTGGACCGTATAGGTTCACAGCAGATATATAGACAAACTATGTGATCTAACAACACTATTACCACCTAGTATCGAAGATAGGAATTACTTGGAGAGTTAGCTTGGAAAACTGGGTGAGAAGTAGTTACAAGTGCCAAGGAAGTACCAGTAAAGGCCCAAAGAGGCCGAAATCGCAAACCTTTTGAATACTACACGGACATAATTGAAGTATTTAAGATATACTGCCTTATTTAGAATTATAGTACATGCTCTAGGATTCTATCACGGCGTAATCGTATGATTGCGTACATTGATATTTCACATATTAGTCTATGTAATTCTTAATTTAAATAGATTCGGAATTTAACACAACATAATCTCTGTTTTAAAGTTCTTATAGTTTGTGATATATACCTTACATATGTTATAGCATAGCGTAGCGTATAGGGACACGACTCTAAGCATGTTATCAACATTTAATAATCATTTGTTTCGTTGATAATAATAGAGCTTCAATATTTTTCTAAGGAAAATATCAGGTAGCGAGACCGCATATCACATAGGACATGTTTTCCGCTCTTATGCCTACATTTGATAATAATATAAACGAATCACAAATATTTCTAACACCTGACATCTTCTATAGCTTTCCTATATTCTTGGATCATTAAACACGCCTTCTCGAATTTGTTTCGTTTTGTGCATGTGTATAATTTTACAGTTATAATATATTTACTGCTTGTGCACGTTTTATGGAGGGCCTAGTACCTATACCTTTCCTTTCATCACGTTGTATCTTTTTTGCCATTATTAATCATAAATGACTTTTAAATTTAGTATTGAATTAATGAATTTAGTAAAATTTTAGTTATATAAACATAATAGAAATTTCTATAGATTGCACAGTCACTCAGGTAAGTCTAAGGAAGTTTATGATAAAATCTTTAGGTATGGTCGAAATTATAACTTTTTGAAGAGCAATAAATATCTTTGCTTCACACGCGATATGGCGATATGCTAATATAGGCTGCTTGAAATATACGATTATGAATATTTATAATTTTTCTATACGATTTTTACTTTAGTAAGCTATTTTTCTATTATATAGGTTTCTGTGGTTTATTCAGTTTCTCTTATCGGTGTCACTTCAAATTGAACGTCAAATTAGAAATTTTATTGAAATACTTTTTGATGACTAACTATAATAAAATATTTTTAATTTCAACAGGTTAGACCAAATACTTGGCAAACAAGGGTCAAAGGCTAAAGACGTCTACGCATCCAAAATAAGTCTTGCTTCCAGAGTAGTTAAAATCGAAAGACAAGTAAGAATAATATCATTTCATAATATCATTAAAAAAAAGGTTTATCTAAAATTGTTTCGTTTTATTTTAGGTAGATGACATAGAGAGTAAGTTGGATCATTTATTAGAGATGTATGAAGAAGATAGAAGATCGCATAGGGCAGGTGGTGGAAGGAATGGAGGTGAGGGTGGGCCTTCAGGAGAATGTGGATTAGCGCTCAGAATGCGACCGGCTTTGTCAGACAAACAGTGCTCGGAGCCGAACTCTCCAGTATCTCGAACTTTCGACCAACCAGCTCCGGCATCGGCACCTCCTCTTCCTCATAAACGACCTATGAACAGAGGATATTCAGATTTGGGAACTAGGTTTATGAGGAAAAAAGTGATTGTTAAGTGAGTTCTTTTTTCTAATAAATCTAGTACCTTCAAATTAGTTATTAGTGAAACACTGACTACTATTAACTATTAACCGACAGTGTTTTGTTAATAATTGTGATATATTTTATTGTTATTTATTTTATTTTTATTTTATTTATACTTATTGTACACAAAAGAAAATACAATAAAAACAGATTTAAAGAATGTCTAAATACTATGTACAAAGGCGAGCTTAACTCATTCATGAGTTTTCTTCCAGCAAACCATTATCCATTATCCATTATGATTATGATACAGAATGTTGATACAAATTTTCAGAACATCGTCTAGTCGCAACAGTGATTCCCCCAGAGACGATGAGGTAGTTATCGTAGTTCCCACAGACAGAGAGGACACGCCACCGCGACTTGTCACCGACAGCTCAGGTATGATACCTACGTAAATACATATATCGTACATATTTAGATTATGTACGTCGCTTATTGTAAATGGAATAAGCATAACACGAATTGATTAATCACTGACGAAGCATACATTCACAAATTATGTATCATTTGCTCCAAATTAACTATTATGTACGTTTTTTGTGTATTCTAAATGAACAGGAGATTGTCAGTTTGTATTCAGTTAAATTAATTATAGATCTATTCATTATTTAATAAGCTTATCACAGTAACTAATCAGTGATTATTATGAATATTGCCACCTACGTCAATAATAGTGTTACAAAATCTAAGCGATAAGGCCGTTATTTGTTGCATCTTCTCAAATTTTTATTTATAGATTTACTGTGTGACTATCATTATATGTAAGTTCTACATTATTGATGACACATTTAGTAGAAANTTATAGATCTATTCATTATTTAATAAGCTTATCACAGTAACTAATCAGTGATTATTATGAATATTGCCACCTACGTCAATAATAGTGTTACAAAATCTAAGCGATAAGGCCGTTATTTGTTGCATCTTCTCAAATTTTTATTTATAGATTTACTGTGTGACTATCATTATATGTAAGTTCTACATTATTGATGACACATCTAGTAGAAAATTAACTACTGATTGTAGTATATAATACGATCTCAGATTTAAGGATCAGAAACAGTATTGTGTAATAGGACTTACTAAGACTGAATTTATGCTCTATTTACATACCAGAACCTACGTCTGTCCGATAATTGGATGCATAAAATGTGTGATATAGTTATGTATCCGTGCTTTATAGGTACATCAGTTTGTCTTATATTAACTAAATTGAGGTGCCGTTTATCGCACATGTTCACTGAATTAAAAAAAAAAGATCAAAGTTTTTTTTGTAGTTTATCCAAGGAAGGTGCTTAATTCTATTTTAATCGAAATTAGCGCATTCCTGTGTCGTATATGTTTCAATACCAGCAAAAATAAATGAGCCTAGAATAAGTTTCTGTAATATTCTTTTTAAGGTTTCACTTAGTAATAAATTGTTCGATCAATCCATTCCTCTCAAATAAATTGGTTAGACTGGCCCTGACTACAATTACTATTTTGGTGGCATATTCAACAGTTTTTTTTATCGGTTATAATGTATACGTCTGTGATTCAAATTTGGTCATAATATTAAGTAGGAGTTTAGGCAAAATAACAAAAGTTCTACATTCTACGACTTCAAGACACAGAGTTGATAATCCCCTGTTTATTTGAAGCACTATAACTTGTATTAAGCTTAGATTTCAGATAACAGAGTATTGGTAATAGACGTTGATTTACATTTATACGACGTTGTGTATTACAATTTAACGAATGAAACACCGTTGCCATAGGTATAAATATGCGCATGTTACAAAATTGCAGCATCTTATGAAGATTATTCATCGTCAACTTCTCTTTGACCATCAACTCGGGAGAGCTCTAAATGTTTCGGCCATCGCCGACTGCGTGAGTCCTAACCTAAACAACCCGTATCGATGTGGAATGTGTATTCATTATGTTTCTGTGACTCCCTGGATCCCACTTTACATCCTTATTTATTCTTGAATTCGTATTTATTCTAGTGATGGGGCTGTCACAAAATGTAATTGTCGATGAAAACTATTGCATCTTGGATTTCAGTGTTTATTGTGTTTTTGTTTTCTTATCGTGCCCGATTATTACTTTACGGGTATTTACTTTAAATGAACATTTGTCTTTCTGATATTATTTTATGGAATGCCATTACCGGGTTAAAGGATCCATAAAAAGACAAATTTTCAATATTGTTTTTAATAAACATTTATCAGTTAAGCATGATTCGTGACATACTTCTATTAGGTACTTAGAAAATTATTAGAATTTTAAAATGGATGCGTTATTTATCTTTTCTTATAATACTTTTGTTATGTTCGTAAAATATTATAAATGTTGTAGAAGTTAGTATTTTTTCTTTGAGGAAGTTTATGTCGATGGGTAAGTTTTAGTTAGATGTTAAACAGATAAAACATTGATTGAAACTATGTAATTCTTAAGATGGTGTAATTCGAAATTTGATTGCTATTTAAAGGTATGTTTATATTACTTGGGAGTTATAATGTTAGATATAAATATCGTCATACTAAATAAAATAAAAATACGCTTTAGGTATCTCCAAATGAAAGTACCTAATGCAGTATCATAAGAACTAAGCTTTATTAGTTACATAAAAATTTCAGAAGTGTGCGCTAGCTGTTCGGTGGAAGTGGAGACAGAGGCTGATGTGGGTGGATCCCATTCTGGAAGTTCACCATCAGCATCTTGGTGCGAGGGTGATGGCACCGAAGAGCGCGGTTACGGCTCCGGGGACTCTCTGGCCGAGGATACCGCACTTCTGGGTGACGCGGCGCAGTCTGCCAACCCGCCGCGGATAGTCCGGAACCAGCGCCGGGACGTAGCCGTCGATCTCCACCTCCTACGACCTGATGTTTGAAAGATCTCGCTGTTTCCACATTCGGTGGTCACCTTAGTTCCTCTCCTGCTCGACTACCTAAAATTACTTTTGGTATTGACGTCGTTCGCACAATAATTTTGTATTCGACATAAAATTGCTGTCCATTCACAATTTAGATACATAGGTGCTTAATGCGAAGAAAGAGCAATCATAGTTTAGTGCGGTTAAATAGTTATGTAAGTAAACTTTAACTCCAATTATGGATACAACGAGTAGGTTTTACTATTAATTTTACAAAGTTGACCCCTTCCGCTCGTTAGGCATTAATAAAGACCAAAGACTTTCAAAACGAGTAGATGATTTTAAGTATTAAATTATTGTTGTTATTTTTTACGCTTAAAATATTGCATTATACTACGTTAAACTTTGAAAATTGAGTTGTAGATAATTTGTATATAATAATTTTAATGACTAAGTCAAATTTTTAACGATTATTTAGGTAAGTAAATTTAAGTATTTTAAACTAAGTGAAAAATTTTTCGTGATGTTGACGAATATCTAAAGAGAAGTAGTTAAACCTACCTTGTTAATATTTTTAAGTCATACATACCATTATGCAAAATGTCTAGTCATACCTTAAACGGGTCTCGATACAATATACCGTAAATCAGCTCAAACGAAATCGATAATAAAGACCAGACGCAAAAACTGAAATCGATACTCGATATAAACTTTATTTTGATTCTTCATCCTAATTAGAGGTGAGGTTGCATAATAAGTGAAGTGAGATTTGCATTTGAATGATTGTTTGTTTGATGAGAACAAGACAACAGACGGTAATTTAAATATATCTGATTATATTTTTAAGACGCTTTCAAAGAATTGAGAATTTAGCACAACACTATTGGAACTACTGTAGCACTTAAGAATAAGAAAGCAACAAAAACGTTGTACGTTCCATTTAAAAAAAAATCAACAGTTTGAATCTTTAATTTTATGCGTTATTACTTGCGTTTGCAAAATGCTGTGATATTTTTATTACCTCATTACTGGTCATAATTCTTGAAGCTACGGACATCATACAACGAGAATTTAGATGCTTATGTCCCATCGCAACAAACATTAGATTTGAAATTAAAGTTTGCTATTCAGATACTTAACTGAAAATTGTATTGAAATAAATATTTTAAAATATTGAGACTCTGAATTGGTGCTAGGGATTATCGCATTTCACAATAATCTTTTCAAACCCGCGAGGGACCAAATGATTTTACTTACACACGCCCGAATTTTCGTTTATACAAAGATTGTCGTAATGTGCAATAGTACAAAATATCGTTGATTGAATTGTTGCAAGAAAACTTTCCAGTTTAGTAAAATGTATGTAAGTTCAATGTATTGATAAATTTACAAAGAAAAAGTTAATCTTAAATGTTCCACATTTAGTGGTAGGGTGATTGATAAAACTACATCCAGTATCTAGTCTCCATTTAAAGAAAAATCAATTGCGGCTACGTTTCAGCTTTGGTAATCGCTCAATTGCATTCATACTCGGTAAATCATAAAATTATAGTCCGGGATATACATAAAAATCATTGTTACCCTGAAATGTAAGAAATTCTCTAACTAGATCTTAGCATCGACGAATTTAAAAAAAAAATCTCTGCAACAAGGGTATTATTCTCTTAATCTGTCAAATGAGTACTTAACCTTCCTACCTATATGAGATCCAATTCTAGTCTTGAAACAATTTTAACTTTTGGACACATTTCTTGATGAAGCAGGGTATTTAATTGCCTGAGTAAACTAGATAAGATATTAAAATATTGGTATGTACCTATTTAATAGTCTAACACCAGGCTAATTTGGCAAAACGGCATTTCCAGCGGCCTAAAATACCTATTTACAAATATTTATTGTCAAAATAAACATAAGAAATTACAATAATGAAATACACCATGGGACCTACTGTTGCCTACTGTTATAAACCTTTTAAGAAAGAAAAGCTTATGTACAATTACAATAAGTTCGTTTACATTCTAACTCTTATTCCACTAGTAAATAGATGAAATTTTCCTATTCGTGATAGCATCTTTAGAAAAAACGTTACAAAATTAAGTAAGAACCAAATTATTTAAGAAATGTAAAGGTAGGTACGTGCTTGTGTAACTTTCGTTGGGTATTCTGATATTCATTCAGATACCTGCCAATACGATAACGTCAGCGGTGCTTGGTGTTTATAAAATATAATATAATTATGTTTGATATTCGTTGAAATGAGTTAAAAATTCATGCACCATATACCAATTATTTACTGTGTTACTCTATTAATGTGAGAGTATAATATGTGAAGCATGGCTTTGTTAAAGTAGAATTTTAAAATATTGTTCTGTTTTCTGTGTACTCCGCTTCTAACTAAAAGCGAGCGTACCTTATATAATAAGTACATATTTGTATTTTATTATCATCATTGCGCATTTCATCATTAGCATCGGTTTTACTAACGGTTGTCAATTTTGGGTAACGCAATTTTTTACAGAATTGAATCGAAGCTCTGATCAAATTGTTTGTAATTGTTAACACGGATTAGTACGCGTAATCTACTAAAGTAAAAAAAAAAATATATCAGGAAATCTCTTCAATTGCAAATAGGTATAATCAATAATTTTGATAGATTAAAAAAAAGTTTGAGTTTCTTGCCACCAATGAGCCTGTATATTATATATTCTTATATAAGGTCCATATGAAAATATTTGTTTTTAAAGCCGATGTTGTGATCAGATTTGTATCAAAGTAAATAAATGTAAGACAGTTTGCAATTGTTTTGCCTGTTAAGACAATTATCTGTAATTAAGCAAATTTTAGGTATCAGTAGATTTTCTATTACTTACATGACATCGCTTATGTACCTATCGCGTATTGATACAATAAAGAGTGATGATTAGCTTGTCTGCAATTTATTTCACGTTCTATGAAATCATGACTATACGAATAAAACAATATTTAGGTGATGTTAGAATTTATTTTTCTAATTCATGTTAACCAGATGGAGACAAAGTGTCTACCTATCTATCAATCTATCTATTCATAATGAAGCGGTTGAGGTTTACCGCATGAGGCATGAGGTTGTTTTTATTATATTAGAAAACTGTCATTCTGTTTAAGCGGAACGGATACAGATCCGTTGCCTTAACATTTTTATAGCGTTGATGAGTGAACGAGCTCAAGGCCCATTTGGTACAAAGTGGTTACTGAAATTCATAGATATCACAAGGTGAGTGACGTCATACCTTGAGACATGAGGTCTCAATTGTATTGTACAACGGTTGTCCTATCCTTCAAACTGGAAGGCATTACTGCTTCACAACAGGTACCCATGTGGGCTTACAAAACGCCTGATATAATACTATACTCAGAGAGCGTTGCTGCGCATTCTCCGGTGAAACCAAGAGTTGGCAAGAGTCGATTTTTACGACATCTACCTATGTAAAAACACGCGATGTTTGTTATTCTAGGCATGAATTACTAAAATAACGTTATTCAAGTTGAAATTCTATATAATATTATTTATTGTTGTAGTAATTCGTGAATTGCCAAAGACATTTTGTTGGAAATACACTTACTTGCCACTGCATTCTGGTATTAATCAATCAAACAATACGAGTGAGTATAGCGGGAACGTTACATATTAGTCCCCGAGATTAATTGTAAAAAAGGTTTAATTTAAAAAAAGTTGCTAATTTGTACTCACCATCTGCACATCATCAGGTCAGGTCACATCAGTTAGTGGGTAACAAAACATAGCTGTTTCAAAACAAACAAATCGATTGAGTTATTATATTAAAAAAATAATTTATTTTCAGTGACAAGTGTCCGTCAGTACATCACATTTTAAAATTATCACTTAATAATATTCATCATAATAAATATAAATTCAATTATTGTTATAAAAGCATTAAGATCAACCAAGATACTCTACTAGAGAAGCATAAGGTCGGTTATTCAGTTTTGCGAAAATCTATTTTTTATAGATTCGTAGTTCGTTTTTTTGTCTCTTCTTGGAATTTTGATAATTTTTAGAACAAGTTTAAAGTAAACTCATTCTAAAAAAAAATTGCAGATATCAGTAAATTAGTGCCAAAGATACCACAGTTCACGAGCAGTAGAAATAAAACATTCCGAAATATTCTATCTCATTCTCTCTATAAATTACATATTATATTAAACTCTTTTTTATAACAGAGCCAGAGATGTCAAAGCATAAAAGAATTCGCTATTTAAGAATTAATAGATTCGTCCTTTAGTTCCTAGAATTATAAAGAACCCTTGATAAAAACGATTACTGCTTACGTTTTTTGGGATTTTAATCAAACCTTAATTTATTGTCCATTTTTTGAGACGAACCTATGATTACAAGGTTATATTGTAAAACAAAATTATTGGCTTTTTTTCGTAAAATGATATATCGTCAAATGTTCTTTATTTTATTTTAATGGATTTTTCAGTTTTGTTAACTTGTATTAGTCTGGCATCTAACCCAATAAACAATTATACAAACAACAAAATACAGCATATATTTGCACAGCCATATTAACACGTTGAACATCAGACTGGAAATCATCTTTAGCTCAGTTGGCCGCTGCGGACACTGGTGTCTGACATTTGACATATCGGAAAATAATGAGTAAATAGTTGTTTCCGTAAATCAACTTTTTTTTTTCTTTTCTGGCAATAAAAACACCCTATTGATTTTTGTTGATTCTTGATATATTAGTGCGGTCGGGAGATAAGTAAGGCGTTCGTTATGGCTTTCAACATATTAACACAAAATTAATTTACGATCACGATCTCAAGAAAACAATTTTAAATAAATTCTTGTTGTTTGCCCCCTGTAGTAAGTAGTAGTAAGTACTATTTAAAATATTTAGATAATTTAATTAATTTTATTCCCATTTTTGTTGTTGATAAATTCGAAGCTATTAATCCTAGTTAATAGTTTATTTTTACATAACAGTCAACATAATAGTATGTTAAAAACTTAAAAGAATTCAAAACTGTTGTTTCATGGGAAAAAATCTCAACAGAAAACTTAGTGATAATGTAAATTCTTAAATTATCATAATCAATTATGCTCTTCGATACATAGAAAAAATGATTACATATTTTTATACACCGGTTCTTTTACCTAGTATTGTACAACGGAACTGACTTTTCGGCTTCTTGGTTGAAATTCGATGAAAAAAATATCAATGAAAAGATTGAAGCACAAACGCAATAATAGGTTTCGCGTTACTAACTTCAACCATCCAATAGGTTTGCAAAATTTATTTTCTTTGTCAAATGTTATAATTGTTGAATAATGAAAAAATACAAATTGACTATCAACATTCAAATGAACCAATTTTCAATACGTCGCAATTTTGTTTTATCTTTAAATAATAATAATTTATTATAAATATAAAGAATTTAAATGTTTCATGGGTAAGTTAGAGTATTATTATCTATGGTGTCAGTATTCACATTGTGATGTAGCTCAGGTATATGGCGCTCGAGTGTGTCTTAGCAATTACTTCGAATATTTGAGTCGTCTATTATCAAAGGCGGCAATCTGTACATTTGGACAAATTTTTTTTATTGATATGTCAATACAGATTTATTTGAATATAATCGTCTCCTTCAAAGAATACGGTTCAAAACCTGCATTAAATAAAGGTTAATAGTTAACCTGTTATTTATCTAAGATGTCGTTCCGAAGAGTTTTGTGACTGCCAATGGAATACAAAGTCAATAATTCGTTTTTCTGATTTACCAATCATTGTCCAAAAGTCACATTGCCGCCTTTGATAATAGTCGACTCATTTATTGTTTTCATCGACAACAGAGAATACTGCCTCTTTGATTTAAATGGTTACTGTTTCCCAAGAACGCTGATAATGCCAAGGTCATTGCCGAATACGAGTTTTTTAAACGTCGTTTGTAGAAATACCATTATTTTTAATTTTTCAGATAGCTCTCCTCCCCTCTAATAATGACTGCGACACTTCTTCAATCTAAGAGTTATCATTTTCACAAAGGTTTCAAGGTAGTCGCTCTAAGACTGTGAGTCAAAGTAAGTACACGTGTACTACTAGGTCAGTACGATAATGTATTGAAATCAAAACAATTTTATGCATTGTTTTGTCGCTCAATTGATTGATAAAAAAGTTTCGAATTTAAGTATTAATTGTTGGTAACGTAATTTGTTTATGGTACTGATACAATTTAGTGATCCACGTTAACTAGATGTGTCTGCAGCGCGGTCGACTGGTGGTACCTGCGGCGGGAGGCGAAGTCCTCGTTGTCGTCATTAAGTCTCTCTTGTTCCATCGAAATGTCCGCGTGAACGGGAGTCACAACCAATTGTTCATATTCTAAAGGACGCTTCCTGCAATAAAAGTTTCAAAAAAAATATTCGTGGTTTTTATTGCCGTGCGCAGTGGGGCTTTTGATCTGCGTGGTAGTAAAGTGCTACCAGAGAACAGAACAATGCGAACGAAAAAATTAAATTTAAATTATATTGTGTATCTATTTTATCTATGTTATTTGCGAATATCCCATACTACTTTTTCCAATAAACGTGTAGACACTCACTTCGGAATCTCAATTTTATATGACAAAAATTCCACCCTTTATATCGAAATGGTCATTTTTTATTACCTTTGTTGGCAGACGAGCATAGGGCCAATCAACAATAGTCAACAAAAGCAGGGGCATAGCTAAGTCACAGCCTACCGCGAGTACTCTTCGCAAGCCTCCTTTGAAGAAGGACATGTCATAGCGCAGCCGATATATAATCTAATGGATTTGAATATATATTTTTTGCTTAAATGGGTGGACGAGCTCACAGCCCACTTGGTGTTAAGTGGTTACTGGAGCCCATGGACATCTACAACGTAAATGGGTCACCCACCTTGAGATATAAGTTCTAAGGTTTTAGTATAGTTATAACGGCTGTCCCACCACCCTTCAAACCGAAACGCATTACTGCTTCACGGCAGAAATAGGCGAGGTGGTGGTATCTACCCGTGCGGACTCTTGGATACTTCGATCTCATGAGAGTTAGTGTATTGCGCAATCGAACGCTCTGAGATCGTGGTCAATGAATGATAAATAAATATGTTATTTTTTGTACGTTATTACAAAGTTGAAGAGTACAAGAAAGTAAAAATCTTGAACAGCTGATGGTGACAGGAAAGGTAGATGGCAAACGTCCCAGAGAACGCAGTCCTACGAGATGGTCGGACCAAATACGATCTTCTCTGGACATCAACTTCCACAATGCCTTCCACAAAGCTAAGGATCGTAGAAGATGGAGGGAAATCGTACGGAAGAAACTGATGCAGCGGGAGAGTCACGACCCTCAGTAATGAGGAAAACGACGCGAGGAGGATTACAAAGTTAGGTCGTACACTGTGTGCATTACTAATAAAAATCTTACGTTACGGACGTTTTTCCCGGTTAGGGTACCCCTCCGTATCGTCCCATAAGGAACTTCGTTCCAAAAAAAAACTCACCCTATAGCTTGAAGGAAGGTAATTCTCAACCAGTGGAAGAATCTAAACTCCGAGGCCCGGCCCGGTTTGACGGCGGGGTTAGCGGCTCCGATATACAGCCACACGAGCCAAACGATACTGAGGCACCCGAGCGCGTACGCCCAGTGCACTAAGAACATCAGTAATAATTTTATCGCTACCTGAAAAAAAAAAGATTAACATCAACTAGTAGACACCTGATAGTTGTCTTGAAGAGATCGCTCTTAACGATAAGACCGCCAATTGTATTTTTTTTGTATTTAATGTATGGCATTGTTTGTATATTTTTTTGGTGTACAATAAAGAATACTGTCTCTCTCTCTCTCTCTCTCTCTAGTATTTCGCCGCAGCTTTTCTCGCGTGCACGACACTTCCCAGCGTTAGCCATGTAAACTTTTTGACATAGATCAATTGACATAGACATAGATCAAACTTTTTGTCATAGATCAATCATTTTGTCAAAAATCTTTACAAATTATTAGCCCCAAAAGCATTTGCGTTTATCGCTTTTTCATTAAAGAAAATCATTTCAAAGTCGATTGATGATAAATAAGCAAAGAAGCAACAGAGGCAGATAGCGACATTTTTTTTTTCTTTCGAACTGCTTAACAGTATTTATTTATTATAGCAATAGCAACCAGAACACTGTACGTTGAATATTAAAAACGGTTACAATTGTTTTTGTGTCAGACGTAATGGATCAATGTTAACGAACCTTAATGTCAAAAGCACAAGGTTCTAAATCGAAATCCCAATTGGTCTTATAATATTCCCACAAGATCCTAAGCAGGTGCCACCTACCGACTGTCAGGCGCCTAGAGATGTGAAACTGACTTGATGGGTCCAAGAAGGAAAATGTTGAAAACGCAATTTGAAAGAAAAAACACCGTTTTAGCATGTATTAATCGAACAACTATACTATATGACCGTTTTCACTAAGAGTTTTATTTGTTAAGTAATAATTATTACCAATATGAATCGATTAGATAATTAGGATAATATTAAAATTAATTAGGGTTTATTAAGAAAATTCGGATTCTATAATATCGATATGAATATAACTTACGCCGACCAACGAAAGCCATCTGTTGCAAAGATGAGAATACCAGTTCTTGTGTTTCGAATGTACACTGACATTCGGACGATTCACGTCGCCGTTCGACTGTCGACCGTTCATAATTGCGGAATCGGTTGGGGACGGCGTGAAGTCCTGCAATAAAATCATTTTGAAATGTTACATTTAGACAAAGTTAGATCACCTGTCTTATAAACCGACCAAGTTGAATGCGTGGGTAATCGCCCGTAAACTTCAACAACGGTAGGATATTTTACTTTATTGCGTAGATGTGTGACCACGGTCCGTAGTCTAGTGTTTAGAAGTTACAATATTACAATGTAAATTCGTCATCCACCTTGAGATTGGTCGATTTTTTTTCCTACCTACGCTGATACCCTTAAGAGGCTACTTCAGCTTTACTCTAACATTTAGGTGAGCTCACGGGGCTCAAACCGGAAATGTTGGTAACACTGGCCCTAGCAAGAGTAGTGCTTCGCAGAATCTACCAGCGGATCGGAAACGCAACTCACTGAGAAGATCCGGCAAGAAACTCAGTGGGCTATGTCTATGGGTTAATTTACTCGTTGAGCCCTTCGTCGCAAGCGACGGGTTCGGCGAAGATGGTGACCCGTGCTTGAGGTACTTAAAAGCACCGTTAATGGATCGGGAGGATCCGTAATGACGTGTTTAGGGCGACGTTGACCGTTTAACATTCGGTTCACAGGATTGGGTATGATTGGCCGAAGTCCCAATCGTATTGTATAACAGCTGTCTCCGTTAGATTAGAATTATAAGTATGAGACTGTGTAGGTGCTAGCTACATATTTTAATAATAACATTGTGTCGTCGTATGACAAAGATTAAATCTGATACTACTATATAATGCTAGATTACACAAACGAGTTTCAAATGTTTTATGTGGACGTTAAAATGTTACTTACGCCAACGTTTTTATGTCTTATTCTCTCAGGAAAGAGTAAGTCAAGATCGCTGCCAGTTGCTCCATACACTTGCGTGTCACGTTGCGATTGTCCTTGAAACCTGTGATCAATATCGAATTTAGATTAAAATTTCAATTACATTGAACTGCGGCTTGAGATGCATGCAAAAAATCCTTTACCTAGTATTAGCAACGTATTTTTTAATACTTGTATCGTATTACCTGTTCAATACCTAAGAATTTAGGTACAGACTTTATGGCGGGAAAGCACGTAGCAAAATTATGTGAATTGTTTTATTTTGTTATTTGGACGTTTCTTTAGGTTATATTATGTGTTATAATATTAGCTTATTAACCGTGTAGTATCTGTGAAAGTGTATATGTGTTTGAAAACGAAATCTAATCGCTGGACGTGATTTCCTAGGGTTATTATAAAAATACCATTTGAGTCTCCCCTTTCTCTCTTTCCCACCATTTTATTGAAACTTTATTATTTTCATTTTAACATGTCTTATTATTCGGATTTTCAGTACAACACAAGAGAAATTCTAAATTCTTTGGCGATACATAAAATACAAATAAAATTAAAATACTTACCTCATTTCTCGTTTGTGTTGCAAATCAAATGTCTGAGCTAACGCAAAGTAAGAATAATCGATACTAGCGTACGTGATGAGGAATGGCATAGTGACGATGGGTGCGAGCTTGTTTATGTCGCCGATTATAATGAATGTGACCGTCACGATGGCAACTACGACCATCGAATATATCGGTACTTTGTTCGGACCTCTCTGAAAAACATTTGAAACAAATAATAATATGTATCACTGCCATCTTGACAGATAATACAAGGTGCTCGTATCTACCCCAATGAGATCATTTAAAAGTACGTGCGAGGTACGAGACTGGACTCGTAGAGGATCTAAAGATAAGATATTAAAATAGTCATTAAGATCAAAATTGTTTATTTATTCAATGAAGTCTTCAAATGTTTTGCGTGATTATCATAATTAATACTTCTGTGCGTCTACATATATAATGAATGTAATCTATGATTCAATGATGTGATAGTATATTATTTACTACAGTTTGAATATTTTAAACAATAATGATGTGTTTTGAATATGGCAATTAGTGAATTCTACTGTTGATGCAAACTCGTTAGATAATTAATATGACCAGAAATCAATCAACATTATTTTTTAAAACATTAGAACTAAAAAAAATAGTTGTACAATAAGTTACATGTAATATCAAAAGCTATGAAAAAATGGTAAAATATCAAATATAATTAGCTTTGTTAATAATAATTACTAATCATATTGGCCATACATACCCCATGTCCAAGTATATCTAAGCCAGGTATGACTTTTTCATTGGCTATGCTTTGTAACACTCTAGGAGTACCGTACATGGCCCCCAAGCATGAACTCATCGAGCTAACATACAACCCCGCCAACAGTAATACAATCACAGCTGATATGTCTGCAGTTATAGAGAAATTCTTTAGTAAGGCTTCTCTGGTGACCGTTGCTGCCAGTGTTATAATGAACATGAGGTATAAAAAGGTTCTGAAAACATTAATATCGTTGTAGATATTTAAAATCGGCAGTGAAATAGTGTTGTCTTTTGATAATTCATTTTTGTATTACTATTAAGTTCTTTCTTGACACAAGTAAACATGTGTATGGCTCATATGGTATTAGGTGACTGCTGGAGTCAATAGACGTCACACGTGAATACCGGCACCCACTATAAGACATGAGGTTAATCCGTCAATTAACATGTCACATGACTGCTTCATGGTAAAACAGAGTAGAAACATGGTATGTATCTATGCTGTGTCATAATGCACCCTTTCTTACGTACGTTTACTGTTTTTGATCTTTACATCTGTTAATTGACTACATGTGCATGAAATTATTATCATTTTATATAAAGTTCATTTTAACGATTAGCTTAGCAATAGAATATTAGTTTTTAGTATTTGCACACTGCAAGTTTATGTGTGACATGTATTCTACTGTTTCAGAAATTCAATTTTTATAAATTACTTTGTAATGGAAAGGATTGGAAAAAAAAATTTAAAAGCTTCCCATACCCAGTAGTGATAGCTGCCAAAGATCCATTCGGGATATTTACAGAAGGATTCTTCAAGTCTCCGCTCATATTAATGCCTGCAAGGATTCCCGTGATGGTTGGGAAGAATACTCCAAAGCATTTGAACCATGTATAGTTATCTTGATAGTCGGCCCAAGTATTGTTTGCTATTGTAGTACCAAGCCAGCCAGTAAATTGTCCTTGTACACTGCCTGTTATATTTAGAACAAAACATTTTATTTATTTTCACTATATAGATGTAAATATATATTTGATATGCTTTTTTAAGGGCTAGTAGCTTCAGTAGACCTATTAGGTCTGTGCACATTATGGTACTGAGGAAAAAGATATTGTTAAAAAGTCTAACTTGATAAAAATTAACATGAGTTGAAGAGAAACCAGTCATGTATTTATTGTGGGTTACAGGCTATTGGTTTTACACTGTTTTATACATAATTAATTTTTACCTGGTATGGTAGTAAGAGATCCAAGGAAGAAATCCAATGCTGCTAATAATATGATAACTAGAAGTGCAAACTGTAGTTTAATGACCCACTTTACACCTGCTACATTGATAGTTCCTAGTAAAAGTACAGCAGCCACTGCAAAGCCTCTTGCAGCCCAGGTATTGTTGGCACTTACTAAATCAGCCATCGACTCGCCAAAACCAAATACATTTAAGGCACAACCAACAGCCTGTAACAAACAATTATTCTAGAATGTGAAAGTGTTAATGACTAAGATTTAATATAAGATAGGAAAGATAGATGATTACTTCTTAAAAAGGAACCCTATGTTAATAAAAAATAAATACAATTATGGGGGTTACCGGTTAATACCGGTAATAGCTTCCATAGTAGGCAATTGTAAAGACATTAAAGAACAGTTTCACAAACAAGGATCTTGGTGACCCTAGGTGTCAAGACTAGTATTTGGCTAGTTTTATACCCTGTATTACTGATTATTATTTAAGATATAGGGACATCAAATAAATGTACATTACAGTGTTTACAATAAGGTGCCTTTTCTTGAAATTTCTATTATATCATTGGTAGAATATTGAAGATGGAAAAATAATATTTATTTGAATGATAGTTTAATAAAAATAATAATTAATTATAAAGCCTGCATTTCTGATAGTAAAGTAAATGACATAGTTTTCAAATTGTCGATAATTAATGCTGGTTTTAAGTTGCAAACAAATAATTACCTGACCAAAGCAGTAAATGATACCTAATGCTCCACCCATTCTTGATCCCAATGTGTGAGCAAGCAAAAAGTATACTCCTCCACTCTCTATTCTGCATCTTTCACAAATTCCCACTGCTGACAAAACTGAGATCAAAGCTACAAAAACTGAAAAAAATAATAAATTTTAAAATAAAGCATGTTTATTTATTACTGGTGGTAGAACCTCTTGTGAGTCCGCGCGAGTAGGTACCACCGCTCTGCTTATTTCTGCCGTGAAGCAGTAATGCATTTCGGTCTGAAGGGTAGGGCAGCTGTTGTAACTATACTGAGATCTTAGAACTTATATCTCAAGGTGAGTGGCGCATTTACGTTGTAGATGTCTATAGGCTCCAGTAGCCACTTATCACCAGGTGGGCTGTGAGCTTGTCCACCCATCTAAGCAATAAAAAAAAATACAATTTTCAATGCTTACGTTTTTGCAATACATTGATTATTACATTATGAGTAAAGAGCCAAACAATACATTTCTTTTTTCTTTGTCATATTACTCTTGCCGTGCAGTATCATTGCTGTGGGCACATGTTAGGTGTCTCACAAACACAATACATTAATAACATGAAATTGAACTTCATACAACTTCTATTTTTATTAGTCTGATTTGTCATTTTGTTTATCAGTTTCATTTTTATCTTAATCTATAGATTTTCGTAATCTTTGTAGCATACTCATTAAATTTTGATGTTTATGGAATTAACATAATGCATTTAAATATTTCTTGAACAAAGTAACAAAAAAGGTTTGCTAAACATTATTCAATGCTTTGTAATAGTCATCATAATCCAAAATGTACATCTTCTTGTGATGGTTTGGTTCAAAATCACTTGTGGCACTCATAGATGGAGTTTTAATGTTTTTCTTTTTGTTACCATAAAGTTAGTTAAACTTTGTAATGAAACAAATCATTCAAAACTATGTAAAAATATCTACCCAAAAGAGGTTTTATTGCACTTATAGTGAAAAATATAATATTTGATAGTGAATAAAGTTCTGAGTTCATTTAATTACAATCAACTCAAATCTTTATTTTCCTATTGTAATAATCATTAATAAAAAAAATTAATAGTCTTATTCAACATTTCTTTAGAAAAAGGGCATGTTGATCCATATTACTGTTTCAAATAAGCTTGTTTATCTGTAGAACAATATCAGTTACAGATTTATTTACTTACAAAAAAAAAACAAGTTTTCAAACTTTCTAATTACCTGTAAATATGACTATCAACACAGCATTAACTAATCCAGCTTGTCCTACTATCCAGCCAGATCTTAAGAATACGATAACACCAAAAATGTTAATGAGACATGATGTAAATACTCCATCCCAAGTACCAAAAAGCACAGGTTGTGATATGAAGAAGTTTGACTTCCACCATGGTACATCTCCCTGGAAAATTAATTTTTGATACCATTTTTAGTCTTGAAACAAATAATTTGATAGTTACTACTAAAGACAGCTAAAGTCTAACTATATGAGTAATTAACATATATGAAACAATTCTGTATTAAGCTGTGGGATGTGAGTGTTGTGCAATTGTTTTAGATGTAGTCCTAGTGTGATAATCGATAGGAGTAGACATTGAAAATGCCATCCATAGTAATGTTTGTTGAGCATTTGTTTTCCTATAATTTCAGAAAATGTTCAGTATTAGCAGCAAATAATGCAATACTTATATTTCTTTCTGATTATAGATATGTTTAAGCAGTCATGTGATTTTTAAAACATGTTTCATAGGCAGTTGATGGTTCTATAAAGCAGAAGACGTAAACGAATGGTATGGCAATGAGGAAGAAAAGCTTTGTAAATCTATATACCTGTATATCGGCGAATATTTCATTGGCTCCAGAGGCTTGATGACCACCTGTGCCGTACTGTGATTCATTTCCTAAATCCACGAAGCCGCCCGATTGCCTTCTCATACGAGTCCTGTCGAAATTAGGTTCATCACTTCTAAAACTGTCTATATCTAAGTCACCTCTTCTTGTACGGTTGTTCTGATCCATTTTCAATATTTTCTATACTGTTTGTGTTGTTATAAATACATTTTTTCGAAATGTTATCAATGTTTATTTAATAATATCAGAGCGCACTTCGTCAGCAATAGCAACTGAACCGAAATGAGTTGACAATGTCAACTTGACATTGACATTTAGCATAAATCAAAAATGTCACATAATTTTTTTAAGGGATTTTGTGGTCTGGTAACTACAACTTTTAAGTCATGTCTTATTTTTATATTTATTTTCTTATTTTTATGAAAAATGATAATATGGAGTGAAGTGAAATGAAGATGATTAATTTGAGACATTAATCAACTGGGATGAAATTAAATGAGATGATATAAGATGAAATAGTCAGTAAAATGGTGGTCATTTACTAAGATTTTTTCAGTCGACTTTTTGGAGGATCCCATGAAGTTACGTCTAGCGGCTTTGTTTCATTTTCCCACATTTGTGCACTTTCACAGATATTAAACAGTTAATAAACCACCATTATTACACATTTAAACCCGAAGAAACACTAAATAGACAAAATAAAACAAATCACACAACTTCACTCCTCGCGTTCCGACCAAAAAGTCCAATGTCACTTATGAAAGCTGCTATCCACAGGAGAGTTACTAATATCTCCTACACATCGTAGTCAGCATTCTTGGAGCCAAGAATATGAAATTTTTTTTCTACCTCATCGTTGGTAGCCTCGAGAGGCTATTTCAGCTTGGCTCGCTTTGATGGGCTTACGGGGCTCAGCCTGAGAGAAATCGCTAACGCTAGTCCTAGCAAGACAGTGTTTCGCAGAATCTAGTACCACTAAATCGGAATCGCAACCCATTGAGAATTTTAGCGGGCTGACTCTATGGGTTCCGTTGCACGTCAAGATCTTACAACAAGCTATAACATTAATACTATTTGACTCTTTGGTTACACATCAAAAGTTGTTTTGTTACCAGGTAAAAAATATAAAAAATCAATGTTGCTGGGCTTAAAGATGTTGTTACCAGGTCATAAAACAGAAAATTCAAAAGTGGTGGACCACAGATTTACTAGTTACTTCGTATATTTACTAGATGGCATTACTTGAATTTACTTGACAAAATACTTCTAGCCTTAGCCACTTTGTTTTGTTATAAATTATGTAATAATAAGAGTATACAAGTATATATATGTGTAAATTTAGTACTTGTAATTTTTTTTAATTTTACGACTTAAAAAGGTTTAACATACATGAGTATAAAACACTGGCTTGGGTCTTTTTAGCGGGAAAGAAACGAGCGTAGTTGTGTGAATCGTCTTATTTGTTTATTTAGTGTTTATTCAAGGTTAAACGTGAAATAACAGTGGTTTATAATATTTAGTACCTCTGAAATAATACATAAATGAGAGAAACCGAAACAAAGCAGCCGGAAATGTCTTAATGGGTTCTTCTTAAAATCCACTGAAGTCTCAGTAAAAACCATCTATTTAACTGAGCCTTTATTTCATCCCATCTCATCTCGTTTCATTTAATTCCATCCCAATTAATTACAGTTTCAAGTAAATAAACATTATCTCATTGCGTTCGATATCATTTTTCATTTATCAGAATTTGTATACAGTACCTACATAATATTTGAAGATTTTTATGAATTCTACAACAATGGCTTAAGTTAATTGCCATACTTAAAAAAGAAGCATTAGTTAGGTAGTTTCCTGAATTTGGACAATGGTGTTCTGAATTTGTGTAAGCAATCTTTTTTGACATTCAAGATGTACCTACTATTACCTACACAATTTAGAATTAGTCTCCAGCTCGAGACATACAGTATAGGTAAATAAAAACGGGACAAAATATATTTTTTAATTTTAGATTAACATAATTTAATTAGAATAATAGCCCGAACTATAGACTAGATCGCATAATTATTTCGCGGCAGGTATATTATGGGATGGAAAAGGCTCCACAATTACCAGTCCAGTCCGCGCAAAAATATTGAGGGTACCTAATATTTTTGCGTAAACACGTGGCATCCGCCGGCTGATTACGCTTCAACTTGACAATTTCTGACGTAATTTAACTCAGAAGGTGTTGGAAGTCGTTGGAATTTAATCATAAATAATGTCATATCAAGATTCATTAATATCTGCTTTAATGTTTTTCTTTTATTTTTATTATGTTTTGTTAATCTGTTTCCAAGTATTAAATATCATAAATAGCCAATAAATAAATAAATCGCTTGACAAACAGAAAGGAGAAGAAGGTACTGGACTCTTTTGTAATTGCCTATTTGTGTTTGTATTGAGATTTGTGCTGCCTTTACCAAAGTAAATCGAAATGATTTTATAGATAAGAGCAGTAGTTTATTAGCGTTCACACAGTCTGGACTAGTGCATTGCAATCCCGTGATCTTGATTTTGAATGATCTGCAGGTACAAATGAAAATATTCATTTATTTGCGATGATTTTAAGGTAGTATTTTGTTAGTTTTTGGTACCGTCACTATTTTCTCGGTTTTTTGTAAGTTGTAGTTTGAAACTGCATACTGTAACGTGAGATTTATGACGCACTTTAATGAAATAAACAAAAACACGTGTTAGTTTTGTCTGTCCGCTTGCTTCATCGAATTTATTGACGCTACTGCATTATTATTGGCTATCGTTGGTAATTTTCATTGACAGTTAGTGCATATTTTAAGATCGTTCGTGCGAAAATTCTAAAAACGGTAAAAATGCAAACAATAATTTTGTTCCATATTTAAATTTGCGAATTTCATTGGCAGTTTCAGACACTTTATTTCATTTTTGTGAAACAGCTACATACTATTTTTTAAGCGGTTATTTAAAAATCAGCTGGTCCAGGTAACATTGAAAAATGATAAGGTAAGTGATGCATACGTGCATCTTGCCACTCAAGCTGCAATTATTCAATATGCTGTGGAACGAGCTAAATAACTATTTATTTCAATATATGTAGGATACCTTAACATAGAAACTTCAAGCTTTTCATTATCCATACGTTAAATTTTAAAATAGGGGAAATCTGTATATTGGGCAATAAAATTATCTTCCATATTGGGTTCACTTTTAATAATAGGTGAACAGATATGATAATAAGCTTATCCTCGATTGAACTCTGTCTTTTTGGGTGTCACCAAGATTATTACTACGAAATCATGAGAGTAGCTAATGTCTGATTACCAAATGAAAAAATAAAAAAAAAACATACAGATAAACAGAATCTTATCGTATCAGAATCTTATCGTATCCTCTTTAAATATTTTCTATTTCCTTAAATCCATAAAGCTTTATAATCTCATGTTAGGAAAATATCCAATGTGCAAAGAAGAAAAGTTTTGTTAAAGTCGGTAATAGTTTTCAATACAATAATTTTATAGATACCCTGATATGTGGATTAATACTTAAAGCAAGTTGTTCTTAGAAATTGCAAACGAAAGTAAGAGAATTGGCCGTAGCTCTAGACAGGGATATTTCAACGCGGTCCCGGGCGCTATCTTAATCGTCCAGCGTTTAAGCATATTTATGCAGCAATAAGTTATCAGGGGTCTAATTACGGCCGCGAAACCACCTGTCCGCTATCATCTGTACATAGGCCTTCGCATATACTTCCGTGCGTCTTACGCGCAGTCCCACCCCCGCGGTGCGATTGGTTGTCGAACTGGATGCGCGCGCAGTGGACCTCCTCGTGATAGAGTGCGAGACATTGCGACTTCGAAGAAGCCGGTCGCGAGCGCGATGCAGTGCCATCGGCAGTACTGTCGCGACCACGCTCAGTTACCGCCGCCGACGCTACTGCTCCAAACACTATTCACGTCGCTGACGCGATCGTTCTTTGCGAACTGTACAAGTATTAGATAGCACATGGATCTCGTTAAATTCAAAAGTTTGCATGTCGTGTTAGTAAATAAATAAGTATTTTTTGGTAAAAAAACTTCGAATAAATAGTATTATTTATTATTTTGCCAAACTTTAAATAAAGTTTGGTTAGTGATCAAAATTAGCTATTGGGTAACAGAACTAAATCTGGTGATGTGATATGGCTAGGCAGGGGCAATTTAAAAATTGCAGCAGCGTCAAAACCTTAGGACTTGTAGTATGGTGCGCGTGGGCATGCGCGGTAACCACAACCGTCTCTGCTGATGTAGACACTTCTACGGGACTTGGCGATAACACCCTCACCAATGCAGGTAAACGTAGACACTGCTTATATTGACTTTACTTTGTTAAGAGGTTCATTACTAAGTAAAATATAAGTTTAAAACTTTTTTATCTGAATTAGCATGGGGTGTCGCAGTGGCGTACCTAGAACTTTTGCCGCCCGGGGCGATCTCCAGTCTGCCGCCCTTTCTATTATAAGTCAATCAAATAGTGGTTTTTATAAATTAATACACATAAATAAATTATTAAGCTATTTAATCAAAATTAATTAATACACAGAGTAAATTTTTTAGACTTATTTGTATGCACTCGTAAACATATTTATATAATATCTACTCTTCTAGCTTTCATACTAGAAAAATCGTGTATAATGCTCTCAAAATTTATATTATTTGTAATTTCTTGTTCTATTGACAATATTGCAAGATTTTTTAGTCTTGATTGACTCATTGTAGAACGAAGATAATTTTTTATCAAGTTCAATTTTCAGAAGCTTCTTTCGCAACTAGGGACACTGTTTGAAATTGTTAAAAAAATTCTTAACAAAATTACAATGTTGGGAACAGAATTTTCCAACCTATACTGCTGAATAAATTTTAGCAGGTCAAGAGGGCCCTTCTCCCCGTTTTTCCAATGTTTTACCTCTTCTTTTAGTGTAGATACAGCCATAAAAACCTGGATCCTTTTTCTTTCAATATGGAACTGTTCTTTATCAATGTCGATCAAATCATTTATTTGACATTCAAATTCTTCNTACTTCAAAGGTAAGGTCATCTATAAACGCGTCGAGACGCCTACCGTTTATGTTTGAACTGTGGCAGTTCCACCTAGTGTGGTGGCAATTTAAATCGCCTGCCAGGATGACGGAGTCTCCCATGCCGAACAGTGACTCGATGTCACTGCTCAGAAGGGGCTTGTCCGGGGGGAGATAAACGGATGCGATGACGATCGGCCTTTTTGTAGGGTATTCCTTACTATATATATATTTGAGAGAAAACAAAAAAAAAAAAGCCCTCTGAGTTTGTTTCGCCGGTTCTTCTCAGGACTGTGGCTTTGTTTGGAACCGGTGGTAGAGTTAACATTGTTATTTATATTTTGACATTCAACAAGTACATTCTACTTATACTGACATCTAAGTTGAAATAAATGATTTTGATTTGATTTGATTTGATTAGAGATGTGTAGAATATTCTCGATAATTATAAGGATGCGGTATCGGCTATAAAAACGTTGCAGAGATGGCACGCAATTAGTAATCGGAACTACTCGAAGCGAAACAGCGAACGGATCACCTGAAGCGAAGCGGAAGAAGCGAATTGAGAATTTTAGAGTGTTTCGGAAGTGTTTAAGTGTTCTAAGTGTTAAATACAGCTTTTATCTGAAATTCGGTAGAATTTTTTATTTATCCCGAACCCCAGCGCGTAACAATATTTTTAACTCTTTATCTTAAAGTGAATGAATAGTGAAAATTGCAGATAAGATACTTATCAATCAATACATATAATAAAATCGTAACTGGTCGCTGTCTGTATGTGGAAGATATCTCAGGAAAACTGTTATAGGGGGCTTTATGGACGCAATAGAACTTGAAAAAATGATTTTTAGAATTTTTGTCTGTTTATCTGTTTGTCTGTGCGTTTGTGCGTTTGTGCGCGCTAATCTCAGAAACAGCTCTGCCGATTTAAATGTGGTTTTCACAAATATATTGTGGTAAGTTTTACTTAACATTTAGTGTTTGTTTCATGACAATCGGTTCATAAATAAAAAATTAAGCCAATTTAAAGAATCACTGTAGATTGTTTACGTGTGTGCGGCCGCGCCGGTATACAGAGCGCGCCGACGCCGCCGCGCGACGAAGGGCTCGATGAATAAATTAACCCATAGGCACGTTTGTTTTCTATAGTTGAAAGATTAGGTTGACACGAGTTAGTAGTTATTAATAATTAATAAACTGTAATAAAGTTAAACTGTGTAATAATCTGTAAGTATTTATAATTTAGTTTTATGATAAGTACGTGTTTACCAAACAACGTTGTGTTAGTAGGTACTATTTATTGTAAGAATGCCTCGAAAAAGATCCAACCTCTCCCAGTGCAGCAGCAATGCTAAAAGGATGAAGTTAGTTCGTCACAGGAATCTGAAGCAGGTCATGAGGCAATACTCATTACATCTCAGGAACGTCAGGCGAGGTTTCGTGTTAGAGAAACTTCGGCTCAGCGAGAATCTCGATTGAGTTGACATTGTTCTCAAAAAAAGACCACTCGAATTAGGGTGAACAGGGAACAGCGTGACGCAAGTTTGTCCATCGATCGTGAATCTTATACACTATCGCGTGAGTCTGAGACTTTCACTGATAGGGAATCCCGCCTGAGCGCCTCAGAGGGTTTGGACAGCAAATGTCTGGTTTTAGGAGACACTTGAAGAACGAGAAACACGTCTCACTGCCGATCACGAGGCACATGCACTATCGCTTGAGTCTGAGACCTTTACTGATAGGGAAATCCGTCTGAGCTCTCAGAGGGTTCGGACAGCAAAAGCTTGCCCGGTCTCGGGAGAAACTAGAAGAACGGGAAGCACAACTCACTACCGATCGCGTTTCCATTGAGCACATTGCTTCGTGATGATATTATTATCATAATAAAGCCCAAGGTCAGACGCTAAAAGTTGTGGCTGTAGATATAGGTGTTAACTGCTTTTCACACAGTCAACTCGGTCACACGGTTATGTAACTCTGTCACATGTTAGCAATCCTAGCAACCTGTATGCTTTGATCCCCGATGGCTATACGTCTATGTCGTGTATAGAGAAGCATTACTTTAAATTAGATTTTTCTAAATACCTAAATGACGATGCTTATAAACCAAAAGATATGTCCTAAAACTGCTGCCCAAAGTCGCTATTCCACGCGGACGGAGTCGCGGGCACAGCTAGTCTTACAATACCTTTATTGTAGTGAAATGTAAAATGTAAGTAGCGGTCTGATTTATTAAGTAGAAGACAACCTGCTTTACGTCTGGAGGAAATTACTTCCTTGATGCTCCCGGGGGGCCCGGAAAAGCGTTCCTAATTTCACTACTGTTGGCAAAGATCAGATCGCAAAATGAAATAGCTCTAGCGCGTTGGCTTCATCTGGACTCCTCGTAGCTGCAACATCGGCAGAAGGTGGACGAGCTGCACACACTCTGCCTTCACATTACCGCTAAAGATGCAAATCAACGCAGCACCAGCTTGCAACATCGCCAAATTAAATGTACAAGGGCGAGGTCACTGGAGGCACTGAACATAACGTTAAAATATATAATTTTAGTCGAGCCATGGCTTTGTTGTCAGGTGATTTTAGGACCAGCAGAACTTTCTTCAGGAGAGTTGTTTTCTTACAAATCAGTTGATACAGTTTGAAACCAAGATGATGTAGTCAACTATCACCTCACAAATTACAATTAAAAGTAGGATCCGTTATTAATATAGTGCGTAACATTAATCAACCCCGACTGTGCAACGGAACGAGCCTTGCAGTCAAAATCTAATGACGATGCTTGATCCCGCGTATACCGATCATTCTAAAAGATCATTTGATGTTAAGCGTCTACAATTTCGCGGGCATCCGGTCTTTACTGGTGGTAGAACCTCTGGTGAGTCCGCGCGGGTAGGTACCACCGCCCTGCCTATTTTTGCCGTGAAGTAGTAACGCGTTTCGGTTTGAAGGGTGGGGCAGCCGTTGTAACTATACTGAGACCTTAGAACTTATATCCCAAGGTGGGTGGCGCATTTACGTTGTAGATGTCTATGAGCTCTAGTAACAACTTAACACCAGGTGGGCTGTGAGGTCGCCCACACGTCCAAGCAATAAAAAAAAATAAAAAAAACTAAATAAATCGCAAGACCAGTTGCTGCAAGTTTGCGGAATCAAGTGAGAGCTTCACTGTTTCGCCCATGGGCAATTACACGTCACGTGCATAACTATGTTGCATTTGATAATATAGATAAAAAAATTGTATTAAGTGTTGACCACATTTTATACAAGACACATATACGAGGGCTGCACTAAAAGTATCGGGAATGGAATATTTCCACTGTTCCTGTCATAAACTCCTTGGTTTTAAAAATCGAATACCATTTGTTTATTTAAAAAAAGATTCACGGTCTTGTCACGAGGTTTTGTCAAACTTGTTTAGTCGTTGAGAAAATGGAATTGACTCGAGAAANGCAGTTTTTCCTTTAGTTTCTACAAAGTCAATAAACGATTCTACAACTTTAACTTCGCTACCTTCAATAACTACATATCTAATAATTTGACTGGTTTGATCTTTGTGTGAAATGTCAGGAGTGCTATCAAATATAATACAAAAGTATTTAGCCTGCTTTATTTGATCCATAATTGTTTTTCTGACTGCGCCTCCCAATACCTCTATGAATTCGTTTTGAATCTTCGGCGACAAATAAGAGAGACTATATTTATTACCCATCTTAATTTTTACTACATGTTCTCGTAATACTGGGTCGTACTTAGCCAATAAGTCAACAACCTCGAGAAAATTTCCTCTATTTTCCAGTAAAGCGATGTTTTCCTGATGAACACTTTCACGATGTCCTCGAAATGCCAAATTTTGTTTTGCTAAGAATCTAATTATATCAAGTATTCTTGTTAGAATTTCCTTCCATTTTTTTATTTCTTTATCAATATTCTGTTGTTGTAGTTTGTCAATAGTTGCTCCACTTCCAAGTCTTATTTCTAATTCCTTCCATTTGTAATATGATCGGATGAGCAGCGGACTAACCTCATGTTGACTAATTTTAGGATTAAGTTTCCACCATTTGTTAAAACCATTTTCCGTATTAAAACCTGCTTGACAAAGATTATCAAACAGTTTGCAGCAGAAACAATAAATACTTTTCTTCGATGGTGAATATACCATCCACGATCTTAAGAGCTTTTCGCCATTAGGCAAAATTTGAAAAAATCAGTCCCGACTCAGTTTTCTTGTTTCACCTTTGGCTTTGCTTGTATTATTAGAACGTTTTATTCAAA